GGACACCATGATGTCTCCACCTGGATTATGATGATGCCAACCACTGGGCTATAAGCTCCAGTGCCAGACCCAGGCCAGACTGTGGACACACAGACAGCAGGACACTGGAGAACTGACTGCATCACCTTTGCCTAGACAAAACAAGGCCAGTCTTTCCATTTCCCTCTTCCACAGGGAACAAAGATCACCTTATGGGCCTGGCTAAGACTGTAAGACTGCTGTTCTGGATACTTCTGCCTCCAATGCTATGGAGACCTGGGTATGGCTAACTGCGTATGGACTCTGGTCCCTGTCATTTTGAATAGATTTGGAAGTTGCTTGTTCTGTACTCAGGTATAATTTATTTATCCTTTAGGATCTGATAGCATTGATGGCTAGGCCAGCTGTAATGTTGTCAGTTTAGCAGCAGCGGGCATCCAGATCCCTCCACAAAGCTATAGCTAGACCATTAGCTCATTTTATAGATACAGAAATCAAAGCTTGCTTTGTCAAAAGATACTAGGTCTCTTGACTAAAAAAAAATGTTTGAAGGGTCTAAAAAGTGATTTGAGATGTAAATACAGGTTAAGATATGGAAAATGTTTCTGATTTCTTTCCCCTTCTAGGGTATGGTTCTGACAAGCTGATAGGGCAATGACTACTTACTGTCTGGATCTCAGGCTCAAGATTTTAGATTAATTCTGGTTGTCATTTAAATATGAACTTAAAGGTGTTTCTCATCAGGCCAGAGACATCTCTGTCCAATCCATACCTGGCTCTCTGGACAGCAGAAAAATATACATGCTTCTAACCAAAATCTGTAGTTTTTGCTAGGACTCAAAGGTATGAGTCTATGCCTGCTGTTTACAGATACCCATTCTCTGCTTTTATCTCTGATACAGATTTCAATATGGGCCTAAAAGTTTCAAATGTATTATTTTTCCTTAAGTACATAAATTTTAACATCTGTTCCTAGTTTAAACTTATCTCAATAGGTTTCCACTTAGCTGGCAGCTACATCTAAGCATCAGTCCTGACTACAACCTGCTCCAAATGACTGCGAGCCCTGGCCTTGCTGAAAGCTGATGTGGACCAGGGCAGCTGATGTGAGTGCTCCCTGTCTCTTCAGCAGAGTCTGAGAACCAGATGCTTCTGATGAGTGCGCCATGGCCTGAACTCCCTCCTTACCTTTGGCCAGCCTTTCAGCCTACTTTGGCCCTGATGACAATGCCCCAATCAGCTTGAAGTAGCTGCAGAAAGAACACATCATCCCGTGCTCCCTGACCAGGATAGGTTGAAATGCTGAGACAAGGGGGACTCCCTGGCATGGGGGACAAAATAACACCTATGGTGCCCATTGATATACCAGAAAACTAGGCCCAGAGTTGTCAATTAATGGATTTATTAACAAAATGGTCCTACAGGAAAGACACTTTGATTCTTTATGCAGAACCACAGAACCAAAGGGGACATTCAGGATTACAATTCAGTTGTACTCAAAGGATCAGTGCTACAGGGCCTGGTAGGATGGCCTCTGCCCTGCAAAAATCTGTGAGTTAATGGTTCTTAGGTCCCAATAATATCTCCTTAACCCCCTGGGCAAGCAGGACCTATGACTGGGTCCTGGCATTGGTACTTTTTTTTTTTTTTTGGTTTTTTTCGAGACAGGGTTTCTCTGTGGTTTTTTTTGGAGCCTGTCCTGGAACTAGCTCTTGTAGACCAGGCTGGTCTCGAACTCAGAGATCCACCTGCCTCTGCCTCCCAAGTGCTGGGATTAAAGGCGTGCGCCACCACCGCCCGGCTGCATTGGTACTTTTGAAGGGGAAAATGTAGGGCCCAGCAGTGACAAGCTCAATAGAGGTGTGAGTCTCAGCAGTTTACCCCGAGGTGATACCTGGTTCCATAAAGACCACAAACTGAGACCACCCAGGCACCACCCAGAAACAGACCATCCAAAAGGATCTCCTAACATTCCAGTCGTTGAAGATAGGATCACCTGCCAGCACAAACCGTGCTAATGTAACTCTCTGGTGGCTTGCCTTTTAATAATGCCCTCTAGAAGAGCGGGTACCTCTCTTGCTGCTGCTGCACCGACAAGGTCCCTGCTGGCTTGTGTTGTGCACACAATAAACCTTTGCATTTCAGTGAATCAGTCTCTCTGGTGGTCTTTTGGGGTCCCCACGGACTGGGCATAAAAGTATGGATTTTAGAATTACTTGATAAAATATAAGGGCAAAACCTAAAAAAAAATACTTGAAACAATCAGAGAATTTATCTTTTTCTCCTAGATAACAAAAGTACTTCAAGAAAACAAAGAAAAACTGTATGATCACCGAGGCCGCGGACAGGAAGAGAACTGTGTGGTCACTGAGGCCGCGGCAGGAAGAGAATGTGTGGTCACTGAGGCCGCGGACAGGAAGAGAACTGTAGGTCACTGAGGCCGTGGCAGGAAGAGAACTGTAGGTCACTGAGGCCGTGGCAGGAAGAGAACTGTAGGTCACTGAGGCCGCGGCAGGAAGAGAACGGTAGGTCACTGAGCCCGCGGCAGGAAGAGAATGTGTGGTCACTGAGGCCGCGGACAGGAAGAGAACTGTAGGTCACTGAGGCCGCGGACAGGAAGAGAACTGTAGGTCACTGAGGCCGTGGCAGGAAGAGAACTGTAGGTCACCGAGGCCGCGGACAGGAAGAGAACTGTAGGTCACTGAGGCCGTGGCAGGAAGAGAACTGTAGGTCACCGAGGCCGTGGACAGGAAGAGAACTGTAGGTCACTGAGGCCGTGGCAGGAAGAGAACTGTAGGTCACTGAGGCCGCGGCAGGAAGAGAACTGTAGGTCACTGAGGCCGCGGCAGGAAGAGAACTGTAGGTCACTGAGGCCGCGGCAGGAAGAGAACTGTGTGGTCACTGAGGCCGCGGACAGGAAGAGAACTGTGTGGTCACTGAGGCCGCGGACAGGAAGAGAACGGTAGGTCACTGAGGCCGCGGACAGGAAGAGAACTGTAGGTCACTGAGGCCGTGGCAGGAAGAGAACTGTAGGTCACTGAGGCCGCGGCAGGAAGAGAATGTGTGGTCACTGAGGCCGCGGACAGGAAGAGAACTGTAGGTCACTGAGGCCGCGGACAGGAAGAGAACTGTAGGTCACTGAGGCCGCGGACAGGAAGAGAACTGTAGGTCACTGAGGCCGTGGACAGGAAGAGAACTGTGTGGTCACTGAGGCAGTGACAGGAAGAGAATGTGTGGTCACTGAGGCCGCGGCAGGAAGAGAACTGTAGGTCAGAGGCCTTGGACAGGAAGAGAACTGTGTGGTCACTGAGGCCGCGGCAGGAAGAGAATGTGTGGTCACTGAGGCCGCGGCAGGAAGAGAACTGTGTGGTCACTGAGGCCGCGGCAGGAAGAGAATGTGTGGTCACTGAGGGAACTATACAGTGGCAACAGCTAAAGCACGGGATTATGAGTCTGCAGTCGCCACTCCTCCACCCTATGAAGATAATGTTTACAGGAGACAATCATATATCTATCCATTTGTGTTCTATTCACAGCAGTCTTTCTACGATTCATTTAGAAACATGTTGTGGTGTGCAAGGTGATCAATGATCAAAGGAAAAGTGTGCATACAGTGCCTTGACACCTGTAGTTCTCAAGAAAAGCATCGCTGGTAAGAGATACCAATTAAAGAAGCCACAAGCAGGGCACATCTCTGGTTCTTAAGATACATGCTTTCTGTCTTATAGACAAGCAAATGTGGAAGAGGAAGACAATCCATCTATACAGATACTACATAAACTGGAAAATTGAGTAAGAAGCTGTAAACAAAATACCTCATTAATTATGTATAATAGTTAATCAGGAAGATGTTACCAAACGAAAGACAATTGGCCGTGACGTGATGAGCTACCACCATACAACTGTTCTAGAGGTGAAAATTCCCAGAATAAGGATAATATGTGTATGTTGTCACTGGAAAAATACTGTGTTGGTGGAACACTCCTCCCCAATTGAGAACAAAAACCACCCAGCAAAGACAAAAATCACGCAATGAGCGCTTATTTAATGCAAATGGAAAGGAAAGCAAGGTTCAGTTTCCCTTTGTAAACCTGCAGGCATGACACATTCAGAGTGAGGTTGTGACAGCTGAGCCCTCCTGGGAGTAGAGTAGGTGCTCTGACGGCAGAGGAACGCTCATTCCAAATCCCAAGAGTATTGGTAATTTTGAACCTATTTACTCAGTGGGTTTCCTATGAAAGATTTGAACCAAGAGTTCATTGACTGAATAGCATCAGTCTCTCACTATCTCAAATACAGGATGGTGGGAGCTGGGTGTAGAAACATATTGACACAGCAAAGAAACGGAATCTGGGGCTATTGAAAGGGGCAATGCGTCATCAAACACGTGCTTTTTATAACGCAGAGAACACATTGTTCCTTTCGGTATTTCCTACAGCTGTCTGAAGTAGGGCTCACAGCACCCTTACCTTGAGGGTCCTGGCTGGGGTGGCTCCTCGTATAGACTCATTACTCCAGCGCAGAGGCACATAGGAATGCATTGAAGTCCGTTTTCCAAGAGGATCCAGCTATCTTATTAGATTATTTAAACATGTGAAGATTTGAGCACAGCACCTGTGATGCAGACAGTTCCAGGAACTGGTCTACAAGCACTATAGCAGAGTTGGATTTCTGTTACTGCGATAAAACATTTATAAAGAGGAAGCACTTAATTTGGTTCATGGTCTCAGAATTTCCAGTCCATGGTACTGGGCCCTGCTCTTTTGGGCCTGTGTCTGATATGATAGTCAGGTAACAGAAAACAGGAAAGGCCCATTTGCCTCATGGCAGGAGGAAAGAGTGAGACAAGATGTAGTCAGGACCAGGGTATGCCACCCACAAACTAACTTCCTCCACAAGTTCCATACCTTAAGTTAGCCACAACCCCTAATGGTGCCATGGTTTTAATTTATGACCACCTGAAGGACAGTCAAGATTCAAACTACAGTAGCCACCTCACCATATTATATCACTGCCAATCATTGAAGCTGTAGAAATACATGTATTTATTTCTTATTATTTTAAGCCACACAGATCTATTATCCCTCTATTTTTAGCAAATACACAAATGCATATGTACACATATGTACAATAGGAATTGACTACTCATGATTTTAAACTTGATAAACACCACTGAGTTAAAAAGCATATCATTCTATTGCAATGTAGGAATATTTTTACACAAGGCTATTAAAAATATAATAGTTTTTCAGCTAAGAAAAATCCTAAATTTAATCACCTCTTATCTGGTATAGGATGGAATATTTACAGAGAGAAGTAGAAATCAAACACATCTGGTTTAAAGTGACAGACTCACCCTAAAATGGGCAACTTAAGCACCAAACAAAACTCTGCCACTCTTCCTTAAGTCCAATACTCTCTTTAGTACATTGTAGCTCACTCAGACAAACATTTGTGCGTGTGAAGGTACAGGAAGACTTCCTTCCCCAGGACTGGCTAAGCACTTCCTCTGTACATAAATAAAGGAAAATGGAATAGGTTGAGAGAAAAGTAGCCACCACTGTTTTATCAATGAATGCAAGAGCTCAAGGATATCTCATCTATACCCACATTACCATCAACTGCTGGTGTAAAACTCAGGACAGAAAATGAAACCCAAGGAGGGGACGGTGGGTGGCAGCATAGAAAGAGGAGTCTCACGGTGGGAGACGGAGCCTCAGGGCCCACCAGTAATAACATAGCACTCCTGAAGGAACAGCAAGAAGAATGGATGTTTGGTCCTGTCTGTAACTGTAGTAGTAACCCTAGGCATGTTGAGCAATAGGTATTGTAGCATATTCACAAGAAATGTCTTTCTGTACAAAAGAACTTAAGCTGTAGTGAAAATCTGAAGGTACTTTGACAAAAGTGTTTTTTTTGACCATAAAACCCCTATACACGGCACCGAAGAGTCACTAGATGATGTCTTCTGCAACCGTGGTGTCGAATATCTGGTAACATATTCGCTGCTGTGTTCCGCTTGTGACGTTGTAGGACTTGATGAGGCACTCGAGCCACGGGTACGCATCTACAGAACAAGAGCACCCGGATTAGCCATTGAACCAAGCATATAATGAGTACTGCCGATTAATTAGAATTTGTCCCAGCCTCAGATGAAAGTGATTTAAGTTTCCAAACACTTGCCGCAGAGGCCGCCAATCATCTCTCCCACGTTTACCCCTCTCCTCGTGCTGACCCTCATGGGCTGCCCCTGGCTTTTCCTTGACTCAAGATCGTATCAGCTTCAGCCTTTATGTGACCTGCCCAGGTGGGAGCAACTTTGGGCCTTGCTGTGATGGCAGCAATGATGTCAACTCCATGTTTGGTGGGCAGTAGGACAGGCTCATTTCTTTCAGCAGAAAGCTCTGGTAGATCCAAAAGGCATCTGGGACAGCACTTGAGCTCACCCAGGATAAAGTGAGGAGCTCCTGTGTATGGCTGGTATCCATTACATTGTACACAGAGAGAGAGAGAGAGAGAGACAGACACACACAGACACACACACAGACACACACACAGAGACAGACACACAGACACACACAGACACACACACAGACACACACAGACACACACAAAGACACACACAGACACACACACAGACACACACACACACAATTTTCCTGTATACGACAAAAGTTACCATGCCCAGAGACTTATTTCTGGAAATCTAAGCATGGTAAGTACAATAGCTAACACAAATTAAAATTGAAAACAAATGATGTATCTGGATTAAACTTTGCCTTAGGGGAGCAAAATTTCCCATCTCTTGGAAATTGATGTTAAAATGCAGAGACCGACTGTGGAGGAAGAAACCTTGCTGAGGAGCAACATCTAACAGTCAGCAACAGAGAAGCAGACAGAAAAGAGACTTCTCACTGAAAACAATTACTAGAAGAATCAAACAGCTTGACATAATTTACGTCTGCAGGTTCCAGCAGAAAGGAATTGCTGGCCACAGAAGCACCTGGTAGCAGCAGCTACAATGGCCACAACTCTCACCTATGCGGAGCCAGTGCACAAGCTGGTGTCATGCAGAACTAACCAAACTTCATAGGCTGTGCACAATGAAAAATGGAAAATTCTGAAGATCACTAATACTACAGAGGAAACACACCGAGTCAAACAGGAGAAATGCAGTTTATTTGAGGGCATTGCATCCATTTGGTATAAAGAAATTTCACTTTAAAGAGTTTCAGTGTCTCTACGCTCTATGGGTAAACTCAGAGTCAAAGACGCTGTGGCCATAACTGCTATGCTTTAAGTGTTTCCAAACATTTTAAACTTCTTTATTTACATTAATTTTACTTCTGCTGTCATCCCATAAAGTTATTGGCCACATTTAGTAATTCCCATGGTTACATAGTTTTCCTCCTTCCACCCACAGCCTACAGATTAGATACACAGTAGGTGATTTACTGCCTACCAATTTTTATTCCTGGAGGACAAATCACATTCATGACCTTTTCCAGATTCCCCTGAAGGCTGTCATCAGTGAGGACTTCGGATGCTGGGATCTGGAAAAATTGCTCCTAAGAATGATGACAAAGGAAATATTCATCATCTGAAAAGCTTTAATGCACAGAATGTCAGTAACTAATTTGCTAAAATGACCTTTTATACACGTATCAGTCTGTTAAGGATGCAGAATTCATAGATTGGAATTGCCTACGCTAAAGCCCAAGCCTCCACTTTAACTGTGAAATAGCCTTGGGACGCATACGGACACACGGTCAAGATCACGCAGCAAGGCTGATGACACTGGCTTACTCAGGAAGTAAATCTAGTGTTAGTGCGAATGACGCAACATTAAGAAAAATTTATTTAATCTCTTCTCCTTCTACATTATGTTTAGGGGAAGGGATTTTTCTTGCCTTGCTAACTGTTCTATTTTGAACACAGACATGGCACACAGCAGCTGCTCAGTTAATATTCATTTAATAAGTGGTTGCATGAACTTTGCAGCCTGGAGGAAAAAAAAAAACACTTAACCTCAACTTGGATTGTTTTCCATTTTTTTATTAAAAAACCAAACCAAACCCCAAATATAAAATAATAAATATATAAATAAATAAACAAATCAAAACAGCAACAGCAAAACTATCTTACTCTAACGAAACATTGGTATTTAGTATGGCATGGCTTGTGGGAGCAGGTGAACTTTCCCTGGAGCTACAGGTCGCTCTGGAAGGGCCTACGAATGCCATTTGAAGTTGGGGAGCTTGGGGTACGCAGGAGGAGAGCAATCAGCCACATGAGCAGTCAGTTATGACAATGTATGTGCTGAAATCACACCAGGGCCTTGGTCACTGGTACTCAACCTGTGGGTCGCTACCTTTGCAGGGGTGGGGTTTGAAATGACCCTTTCACAGGGTTCACAAATCAGACACTACACATCAGATATTTATATTACAATTCAAAACAGAAGCAAAATTAGTTACAAAGTAAAAACAAAATGATTTTATGGTTGGGGTCACCAAAAACTTTAGTTAGCAGGCAGAGAACTACTGGTCTAGTCTGGTCAAGCATAACTAGCTGCCAGTACTCCATGTATACTGTTATATTCAGTGCAGAGAATTAAGTCCATGTATTGAAAAACATCTGGACCTGCAGAGACCCACAGCCAGATACCATGAGGGGGAAAGAGTCTAAACTGGAGGTCCCCATTAAATCCCTCCCCCTCAGAGCTCAGGGAATCCTGCAGAAGAGGAGGAGGTAGAAAGATTCTAAGAGTCAGAGGGGAGGGAGGGCAGCAGCAGAACACGGTCCTTTGAACCAACTATGCAGGCCCAACACGGGTCTCTACCAGGTCCTCTGTGTATATATTATAGCTATTCGTTTCTTTTCATGGGACTCCTGACAGTGAGAACAAGTTTGTCATGACTCTTGTGCCTGTTGTTGGGACTCTAACTCCTGCTGGGTTGCCGTGTCCAACTTCAATATTAAAGTTTTTGATTCATCTTATTATAAATATAAAAAAAAAGAGGATGAGCTTGGGAATTCTGAAGCTAAGGGAGGCCTCAAGGAATTCTCAACTTCAACTACTAATGTCAGAAATGACAGCGGTGTCTGGGGCTCCTCCACATCTCATACAATACTACATGTCTGCTTATCATGCAAGCTCAGTTCCTTTAAAAGGAAAGCACGCGGAGGCCTGCACCGTGCAGCGAGCTCACGATGGACGGCTCCACACCTGCTCTTTGCCGAGCACTGGAATTTCTGAAGGAATGGCTCCTGAGATATGGATTCCTCAACTTCATATTTTAAAATTTTGATCTAATCAAAAGCTATAGATCATACAGTTTTAGATTTATGTGGCTGTATTGCTGTTATATATTCTAAGTTATTCTAAATCCTTTTAAGAACAAAATACAAGCCGGGCGGTGGTGGCGCACGCCTTTAATCCCAGCACTTGGGAGGCAGAGGCAGGTGGATCTCTGTGAGTTCGAGGCCAGCCTGGTCTACAAGAGCTAGTTCCAGGACAGGCTCCAAAACCACAGAGAAACCCTGTCTCGAAAAAAAAAAAAAAAAAAAAAAAGCAAAAACAACAAAAAAAAGAGAACAAAATATAAAGAAACTGAGTTTTAGGGTTCAAAAGGATTCAGTAAGTTATACTGAAGTAAAACTAAGTAGGATAAATATTAAAAATTTGAAATAAAAACTTTAGTTAACTATTTTTACCAGGTCTCTTACTTACAGAATCCTTAAGGTAAGCGTCCAATACTCCTGTTCCATCATCAAAACTGAACATCATGACAAACACATACTGCAGAGGAACAATGCCCAAAACTAGTGAAAAAAAAGAGCACATTATTTCAGGCTGCTAGATTTTTCTATAAGTTAAACCCTAAATACTCTACTCTAGTGAACAGGTGCAGACCATGACTACTCAGGGTATCACAACAAAGAACTGCTTTCTTCTCTAGGATCAATTTGTTAAAACCATGCAACAAAAACCCCCTGGAACATTCCACCATACTTATGCAGTTATAGTTTCATAATATAAGGAACTGTATTCTAATACTTGGTAGAACCATAACAATTAATTATTAATTAGCTAATGAATTAGGGCAATTCATTACATGTTAATTATATGAAAAATGAAATTAAAAGCATAGACTGCTCTAGAAAGCAACACACAATAAGCAACACATAATATTGTTAAAGGCTTATACCCCTTTACACTGAATAGAGTATCCCTTATTACTATTAATTTTTTTCAGAGATGTCATCTGATTGAAAGAATAAACATGCTAGAATCTGGGGTTCTATAATTGCCAGGATGAGAAAGAGTGAATAAAGTGTAGACACTACACATGACAACTTTACTTACAGGCAAACGTCTCTGAAGACACTGCCAGGCGCATGGGATGTTTTATGACCTTCCATCCTCACAGACCATATTATGGCAGGAAGATTAATTAGGGAGGCAGACAGACGAATAAATTGGGGCACAGAAGAAAATTAGTATGGAAATTCTGGCTTAAAAAGGTCTCAATAGTTCCACTGAAGCAACCCAAAGAAGGATGAGACTCAAAACCATGGCGGATGGGAAGCTTGACAGGGGAAGCTCATGCGAAGTAACAGGGTATGAGACAGTTGTACCACAAAACAAAACAGGCCACAAGAAGCACACATAAACATGTTTATAAAATGAAATTTTAGTTTAGGAGAAAAAATCTGGGTGTACACTCTCACAAAAATAGTAATTCTCACTATATTTTGAGTTGCCCAAACTAAATTCACAGCTCTCAATCGCTGTAAAGGGCAAACTCAGAAAAACATTGGCAGAGTGAAGACTGACTGAGGAGACAAAGAAGTCAGGAAAACGGAAAAGCAATAAAGCAGGGAAGACGGCCAGCCTGAAAATGTGGACTCAACAGGGACACAACACTGAGGCCTCCGAAGAGCACTGCCCTTACAGAAGAGGAAAGACATACGTATACAAGAACAGGATCCATCTTAGTAGGCAGACCTGACTTTACTAATAAGGGCTTTCTAAAGCTTATGCCTTATAATGTACCCTGCTCCTGGAAGCTAAAACCAAAGGCTGGGTGATTCGTGTGTGCAGTCGACAGCCTCCTATGTGCTGACTGAAACTAGAAGGTAACAGCCATCCCGACACCTTGTCCATCACTAGGTATGTGCCAGGAGTGTCGCAGGACCCGTATGCCATCAGGGATCACGTGGGAACAAATGGCCCGACACTGAGATATGGTTCCGACTGCGGTGCTTGTGAAGGAACACGAGTATCTTAAATACTTAGTCCTTATTTTAGCACAATTGTTACAAATAGGATTAAGAAAAGTTAAGCTAGTTTTGACATAAGTATTAAGTCAGTGAGATGAAAGAGCATTATAATTTTAGGACAAAAATCCAACTCACCTTCTGCCACAGAAGAAGGAATCCACAGTCTTTTATTAGGAATGGTTCTTAGGTTTTGTATGGGTTTCAAGTTTGAGCACTGTTTACATCTAAAATGAGTAAACGAGTAAGAAGAAATGGGAAGTATTTAAATACAATCAAATTTACTCAAGTATGACATCTTGTTAAGCACGGACAGTTTTAGAACCGGCTATTGAGTAGAAGAGCACCTCACTATCGATGCTCTAATGGTTGCTTTATAAACCAGTTATGACTGATTTACTACACAAAAGCGACAGAAGACAGGGCTGTGGTGGCTCCAATAACGGCCCTCAGGGGCTCCTATGTTTGCGCGTTTCTTTCCCAGCTGGTCAAACTGTGAGGGAAGCTTTAGGAGGTGTGTGTGGCTGAGGTTTCCAAAGGCCCAGTTAACTTTCTTCCTCTCACTTGTGGATATAGCTGTGAGCTCTCGGTCCCTGCCTCAGCACCATGTTTGCCTGTCTGCTGCCCTGCCCGCTGCGATCCCAACCACGGACTAAGACTCTGAAACTGTAGGCAGCACCGTGTTTGCCTGTCTGCTGCCCTGCCCCCGGCTACACCAACCACGGACTAGCACTCTGAAACTGTACGCAGGTCCGGAACTAGAATGCTGTCTTCTATAAGACACCTTGGGCGTGGCGTCTCCTCACACTGTAAGAACAGTGACTGAGACAATGGGCTTCAAAATGAGTAACTTGAAGTTGAGAACCAGGAACTGGACTCTTGGTCCAAATCATTACATAATTTGGCTGTTAATTTTCTTATCTGTTAAAACAAAAAGACATGAGAGAGAAGTTGCAGGAACAATGAATTTATAGCTCTGTGAGCAATATCTAGTGGTCAGTCTTAAAAAAATATAGTAAGAAAAAATTATTCTGAATGAACATTGGGGACAAGTTGGATTTCAGGCAAATTCCTGTTTTTAGTGAGCACAAATTCAAAAGCATCATGTATGATGCCTGCAAGTCAGTTCCTGTCTGGAATACAGAACATCTGAAATAAGACAGTTACTAAAACTGAATGTCATTTGGTACAACTTGTTCTGTTGAAATGGCAGTAATTTGATTTTATTAGGCAAGATGAAATGTGTATGAGATGTAGTAGGAAAATATGCTTACAAAATATATTTGAATAAAAATTAGAACTCAAGAGTATCTGTAATTTATAAATTGGGAAAGAGGATTCATTTAATCATTAAATATATAGATATTTCTTCACTAACAGTAATAATGAAAAGATAATGGAATGAAAAGAAATCACTAATATTAGACAAGTTGATAGGCAAGCTGGTACCTAACTTTTGGTGTCTGGGGTTAGACTTCGGTACTGTGTATGAGGAAGGTTAGAAGAAATGAAGGGAGAGAAAAGAATGAGGGATGATCCTGTCAGAAGCAAAGCCTAGTCCATGGATTTATTCAAGGAACAACAGGAAACAATGTGTTTTGATATTTCAACTAAGTGATATATAACCTTCCAAGACATTTAAAGATATAGACACTGGGTGCTTCAGAGAATTAGGTACAGACATTCATTTATATTTTATTGCTTAAGTTTTTCACCCATTGTGTATGAAAGAAAACCAAGGGCAAAGCCCATTGGTTACTCTGGTTACTCTAAGCGCCACAATCATGCAGCTATGATAATGGCAGAAAGTAATTTTTTAATGAAAATTAAAATTTAGGTTCATTATAACAACAACAACAATATTTAAAAAGAGAATGAAGGGGGTCAAGGTATGAGATAACAAGATCGCTCTAGGTTACAGTTTCAGAGTGACTGTTTCATCACAACTATAGGGCACTTTACTTTGCCGTAGGCTCCATGCTCTCTGCCAGTCTTCAGTGGCAGTAACTCTGCAAAATGCTGTATGCAGTTCTGGAACTTACTCAGTTCGCAACTCTGAAATGTCCCCTTAGCTGATTCCTAAATTCTTGTGTAAGAAACAAGTTTAGTTTGTGTATGAGATACAAAATGTTGTAAGCTTTATATGTTGCACACAGAGTGTTTAGAACTCTATAAACGTACAAGAAAAACTGAGTAAGGGAAGGGCGGTGGTGGCGCACGCCTTTAATCCCAGCACTCGGGAGGCAGAGGCAGGTGGATCTCTGTGAGTTCGAGACCAGCCTGGTCTACAAGAGCTAGTTCCAGGACAGGCTCCAAAACCAGAGAAACGCTGTCTCGAACCCCCCCCCCCCCCCAAAAAAAAAAACAACAACTGAGTAAGGATCCTCTAGAACTCTAATAGGGTTGCATCAACACATCTAGATGTAGCGCCCCACACAGCTGTTTACCCTGACAGACAGGCACTCCCTAGCATGCTAACTATTTCATCACACACCACCAGACTAGAAAGGGAGAGTTTGCTGCCCCTGTACCAGTTGGTATCTCTGGACACAATCACTACTCCTTGGGAACTGTCTCTCAGTAGGAACTGGCACAACAGTATCAGCCACACTGATACTGTGTGGCTGGAGGACAAGCAATGGAGACACAGCTGTAATTCTGATGCTCGAGATGAACACACACCCATAGTGACACACCTTTCCTCGTATGAGGAATGGTGCTGCAAGGTCTAGGAGCTCCAGGTCCTCAGGGCCGGACCTCACAGGGATCACACCGCCAAACATGCTTGACAGTTTAGAAATTTCACAGAGTCGTCCTCCTGTAAAACAATAGAGGAACTCTTCAAAGCCCATGGAATCAGAGCAAGACGCAGGATGTAAGTAACGTAAGTTGTTGGTTTAACTTAGCTGCCCCCAGAACCAAATGTCTCTTTGTAGTCAGAGAATTCAAGAAAACAATAATGTGCATCAGCAGACTCCGTGTGCATTCCATCTCTACATGGTTTATTTTTCTTTACTCCTTTAATCTAAGACTGTCTGTACTCTGTCTCTTTAAAGACTGCTTTATTCTTTAAACTATTTACTTCTTTTTATAACTGTCTATGCTCCTTTCCTTCTCTCTCGCAAGCCTACGTACATTTGAAACACACTGTGACCCGTCCAGAGGTTTATTTTTGTCTGAATCTGTCTTTACTGCATATCTGTAATCATTTTCTGACCAAGAGCTCTTCTTAACATGCTAATGGCGTGGCTACGACTAAAGCTGCCTTGACCTTTGGCTCTGCGTGGTTGGTCTGTTCTCTGCCAGCTCTGCGAGGCACAGTCATGGACCCAGCCCAGGGCTGCAGCGGGGCCATTCACCATTGACCAACTTGTAGCACACTGCTCACAAACCCCCCCGGAAGAGCCAGAGTTTGTGCTACCAGCATGAACCAGAAAGCCACTGTTTAAAGAAGTCTTGCAGTTTTTGCTGCTTATGCTGAGTCAGGAAGCCATCTCTTAGGTGAGCCACACCTCTGTTCACTGCTAGTAAACAGAGCCTATCTGAAAGAAAAACATGGCTACCAAGAAGCTGTGCTCAACTCTGTTCTCTTGTGTCTACAATTCCTTCCCAAGCTCTCTCAGTTTTTATGTGGATGTAGTTGTCCCAAGCTGGTGTCATTTTGTAAACAGAGAGTACTCTTTAGTTTCCAGCCGCCCAGACTCAAATAATCACACAGAAACTATATTTATTACAACACTGTTTGGCCTATAAGCTCAGGTTTCTTATTAACTATTTCTTATATCTTAAATTAACCCATTTCTATCAATCTGTGCATTGGCACGAGGCTGTGGCTTACTGGAAAGGGTATTTATCTCCTTTGACAGCTACACACCATGTCTCCCTGACTCCGTCTACGCTCTCTCTATACCTCTTACAGCCTGGCTATATTCTGCCTTGCTATAGGCCAAAGCAGCTTTATTCACTAACCAATAAAAGCAATACAAATACAGAAGGCCCTCCCACAGCAAAACGTGACACAGCAAAGGAAGTTACAAGCTTAGAAAAAATGTAAACTTTGCATGACAAAGAAAAAATGAACTGTTACGTAAGAATTAGATGGAAAAAGGGAAGGAAACAGCACAATTTCCATCCATGGTTGGCGATTTTCATCCAGTATTATGACCCACAGTGACACCCAGAGGCCAAGATGACAGTTTCACATGATGAGCTGATGAGATTAGACAGGAATCCAGTAATGCAGGCAAATGCAAGTTCAATGCTGCTATGAAAGTGCAATTCAAGTAGATGTGTGCGCTCACGCATCTGAATCTGATACACTGATGTGTGCGCTCACGCATCTGAATCTGATATACTGTCTTGAGAAATTTAAATTAAGAGCACTTTTACTTCATAGGTACAAAGTACCATAAAATATAGTCAACAATAATAGGGGAGAAAATATACAAAAGAATAGTAGAAAAATCAAATCACAAGTATCTTACCTTCTATCAAAATTAGACATTCATCTGAAAGAGGGAGGATGCCATCGTTTTTCACAAAATGGATAGCGACATGACGTCCTCCTTGACCTTTGGTGGTCCAGACCTCTGAGTCATACAGTGATGTACCTTGCAGTTTGCTCTCTGGAGATTTAGTTGCAGCATCCTGAAAAATTTTATCCACATTTTCCTCACATGGAACTTCTTGCCTAAAATGATTGATGACAAATTATTAGCAAAAAAGTAGGTATATTTTTAAAAATTCCAATTGAATAAATGACTCAAAAGCAAATTATTTTAGAGGCTGAAGAGATGGCTCAGAGGTTAAGAACACTTGATATTCCTGCAAAGAACTAAGGTTCATTCCCCGGCACCCATATGGTGACTTCAAACATTTGTAACTCCAGTTCTGAACTTTATTGGCTACCACAACCGTGGGGACCAGCCTCAAGGCTGTACAGGACTCAAAGGGAAAGCCGCAGCATCGGGGAAAACTGAAACTTTTCCATCTGAGGGGTTAGGGAAGAAGACATGCTTTCCTCACGGTTTCTCTTTATATTCTTTGTACTTCTGTATTCTTCCTGTGTTCCGTCTAACACCATCTTTACTCTTGCTATTTCCCTTCTAACTCTCTCATCCCTGGAGTTTTCTTTCTAGCCATCTTACCTCCTTCTTCTGTTCTCCATCTAGCTCTTCTCTTTCCCCCACAGCTTATATACCTAACAAAATCTTTCAGGCAAAGCAGAAGTCACAAATGGCTTACATTTCCTTTCTCAAGCGAATGATGGAAAACAGTCATCCTGACAACTCCCACGCAATATATCTAAGCAATTTGTATCTCGGAGGGCTGCAAATTGCAGTCGTAAAGATGGGTCACTATATTTTCTGTCGTGAGAGGTAATCTTATAAAGCATTTTAAAGGAGTCATAAACCTAAACTAATGAGGAGGCCAAGGAAAATAAGAAAACATACTCACTTATGTCCTTTATAAACATTTGGTTCTCTCGACTCAGAGAGAGGAGCCTAGGACAAGGAGCCTCTTGGGTGACATAAATCCTCCAGTATGGGCTCAAATCAACACTCCCGAGATACCGTACGTCTTAGCTACAGCTTAGTGGGCACTCCCAAGACATTGTGACACCAATAGTGTTTTATATCTCAAAAGTATACTTTCTTTACTGTAACTATTGACTGGAAGTAGAAACTTGTAGCTCTTTCTCAAGGCTATAAAGTCAAATTATTCTCTGTAGCCCTGACCAGCCAGAAATTCTCTTCCTGCCATGTTTCTGAACAAAAGCTGTTTCTGTTTATAGACTTCAGTTTTTGTGCTGTCATCAGCACGATTCCAGGACCCATTTTATACATAAAGTCAGTCAGCTGAACTCAGAGTCTGAACTACGAGTCTCAGAGTTCATACCCATATCAGAAAACGGAGGTCAAAAATCTACAGATAATTAACCAAGCAGACCTAGCAAGGAAAGTGCAAGCAGCAATCAGTTTGCTGTGCACTTTTAACCCTAGCCCAACAAATCAGACGCTCAGCTATCTGTCCTTGTAAACTTTTAAATTGTTTTTCTGGGGATGTATATCTTAAAAACCACTAGCAAGGCATCTGTTCTAAACTAACATCATTTTAAAGTTTTGTTTCTGCTAAATGGTGCATAACAAAATCTGAAAATGCATATTTTGAGTATTAAGATAATTAGAGCCAGCCTGGCTCCTGGGGACCTCACAGGCCCATGTCTCTGTGTTCATTTTCATTCATCACAGCCCTGAATCAGCTAACATTGTCAATGCCAATTAGACAGTACAGCTAAGGAGGAGTTATCTTCTTAAAAATCCACAAATAAAAATGCTCAGTAGACTGAGAGATATTCACGAAATAAACACTACAGTATAGGCAGTGGGGACTCCCCACATCCACCAGGGAAGACAGCAGGAACAGGCAAAGTTACAACAGAAGCAAAGAGATATTGCAGAGTCTGCAGTCTTGTAACCTTCTTAATGAGTTTTCCTCCTGGGGCGCTGACACCTTGAGTTTTAATTGCCATTTGCTGTTCTTGTGACATGGTTACTGGAATCAGGCAATAGATAAGGCACACCCCCCCCCCCCCCACACACACATAAACACACACAGGCAAAACACTCACACAAAATAAATTAATCTACAACAAACTTTAAATACTATTTTATATGCAGATTAAACTAGCTAAGCTTGTTTAAATTAAGGACTTAAGATTTAATGAATTTCATTTAATTTAATTTCGGATTTAATAAGTTTTATTCAATAGGTATTCAACATCGTATGGCTAGATAAATCCATTCCCATAATCACAGAGAGATTGTATTTATAGGGTCTGTAGAGGTCAGAGAACAATCTCCTACTATGGTGGTCACAAGCTTGGCAACAGGCATCTCCACCTACTGCCCAGTGTAGCGCCCAAGGTGACCTGTAGTTATTCCCGGGCCCAATTAGTTGTTGAACAAGTTTTTACCCCAGTTAATCTCATTGTCACGGGGGACCTACTTTAAAAAGTTATTAGCTTCATTGTTTTTACTAACTGGTAATTCACACCAGTGTGATAAACTTCCGTGTGGTAAACACGGCCTGGTGTGGAACCAGTTGGGCATCAGTGTGTCTTTAGGTTCTCTCTTACACTTTCTAACGCGCTTTGTCTAGAAGGACATCATAGCATAGCTTTATTCTGGAAAAGCTCTCAGTTACAGGGCATCTGCCCGAACACCACCATGCTCCCCATCAGAAGGAAAACAAATTGAACCTCTGAAATCATAAGTGAGCCACCCCGGTTACATGTTTTTCTGATAAGAGTTATGCGTTCATGCCGTCTCTTCACAGCAATAAAAACCCTAAGACACACACTATCCCGTGTGCATGTTTCTGCACTTCCTGCACCTCCCCAAATGCCATTCTGTATTTTGAGGAACTATGGTTCACCGCATTGAAAAAATAAACAGGATTTAAAGTTCTTTTATCATGTTTCGAGATGAATATGCATTGTTGAGAATAAAAAGCTCTGTGCCTGTGCTTATACATAAAAGCTGATGTCTGAATTGAAGGCACTACACTTTCTACATTCATATCAAAGCTATCAAACATTAGATTCCAAGCCTGAAGATATCCATTTTTATTTATTATTACTAAGAATGACTCAAAATTTTTTTTTGTAGGAATTTAGCACTTTCCCTCAAATCATTAGCATTCTTTTCAGATACAACAAATTAAATAATAATTTACCCATTTCTTAGGACTTAAAACCACATACACACACAAGCAAACACACATATGGGCATGCATATAATCAAACAATATGAGACGAAAACTTTCTTTTTAATTGGAAAATACTTACAATGAATTACATTTAGGACAAAGAAGTTTAACAGACTGGAAAAGTCTTCTGGGCTCATATGATCTCAGTTTTGCTAGGATTCGATATTGTCGAGGAGCTCTTTGCTGCAAAATGGCATGCAGTGGTGTCTTCTCTAAATAGTGGTGATCTATAAGTTCTGTAAAGAATATTTGCATAAGAGTAAATAAAGTACAGTGTCTTATGTATGCTCAACATGAATTTCCCTGAAACAAATATACACCATAACATCAAGTTACTCTCGGCTAGAGTCGCAGTGATTAGATGCGGACTTGGCCATGGACACAAAGCCAGGGGCACAGCAGGACAACGGACATGTTAATTACATACGAAGCACACAAGTACTTCTCTATGGGACTAATAGAAATTCCAGGAAAACTCTAATTTGTGGGAAATAGTAAGGTTTATTTCACCAATAAAATGAATGGTACCTGTATAACATGTAAAATTGCTCACTGCCAATCTCTTAGACAAATATTTTCAGGCAGTGGTAGCTTATGTTATTTATAACTAGAATTTGATCAAGAGATATTAAAAAAAACCACATTCACCAAATATTATTTGTCACACGGTCTTTTGACCTGGGTTCAAGACTTTACTAAAATGTCCATTATCAAAGAGTCAGAATGTGAGGTGAAAACGGTTATTAGGAGGAGCCCAATCATCACAGTGTTTGCAGAGAAGGGATTTATTTTGCAGGTAGAAAGGGAAGATGGTGGAAGAGGGGAAGCAATCAGAATCACAAAGGAAGAGAAGGCCTAAGAACAGAGCAAATGACTGGCAAACAGAAACACGGAATTAGAAGCATAGGAAATCGGGATGACAGGAACGAGTCTACTCCTCAGTCTCTTGATATTCTAGGGTGCACTTTCCTATTTTAGAGAATGAAACTTGTACACAGCCTTGTAAACTTCATAAACCCAGGAAAATCACTTCTGTTCACAGCTTTAAGACCCTCACAGATGTCTCCTTGTGGTAAACAGCTGAGAGCTTACAGTGAAACACTCCCTGCCAGGCAGGCTCCATCAATTTAAAGTAGAAGGAAACAGCAGTTTCAGGTTGCATTCTGAAACATTGTTTCAAAAACTTTAAACTTTGTATTACTTTTAGGAAAAACTGTGAGAACATAAAGTCCCCCTGAACAGGCTTTAAAAAGATTCATAAATAGCTGTACACAGGCACATTCACTCTGCCCTCTGGTCCACCTCTTTCCCTATGTGTATTAAATTACTGGAAACAGCTTCCAGACATCAGGTCCTGATCTGCCACCCTCTGAGCACTTTAGTATTTCATGAAAACAATGTGTTTCCTTCACATAGCTACAGTGCCTGCTTCAAATAATTAGCACAGATTTAAGACTATTATGGGATTGTCAGATACTTCCCTCTCTCCAGTTGTCTTTGCCTTTCTGCTGTAATTCTAGACAATGCATATTTATCTTTCCTGTGTTCAGGCTTCAACATCAAATGATTCTTTGTCTATTTACCTGTTTACCTTATGACACTGATTGGAAAAGTGCAAGTGGTTATTTTGCTGAGTACAAATCTACTCAGGTGCGGCTGGTTTGTTTTTTCTCAGTTTGAGATTCTGATCATGCTTTTTTGGCATAGAGACTACATACCTGACATTATATTTCTCAGTACACAAGGAATGAATGCATGAGAATGGAGCTCCTTTCCTCCTTGGTACACCCAAGGAATGAATGCATGAGAATGGAGCTCCTCTCCTCCTCAGTACACAAGGAATGAATGCATGAGAATGGAGCTCCTCTCCTCCTCAGTACACCCAAGGAATGAATGCATGAGAATGGAGCTCCTCTCCTCCTCCAGGGGAGGGACTGGTGCAGCTCATTAAAGGATGCATAGCCTAATCTATTCTGAACGAATTCCCCATCCTTCTAACTTGCAAAGGTAAATGTGTTATTCTTTATTTAGATTCTAGTAGTTTAAAAGCCACAGACTCACAAACCAATAATTACCACTGTGTTGGCAAAATAATGTTATTTAGTATTTTCTCTTTTTTACATCAGTTAGCCATTTTAGCCCACTGGAATCTGTTTTTCCTCCAGAGATACCTGGAACATTTTCATAAGTATATTTTCTGTGCACTATATATGTTTACTGCTTCTGGAGGTCGCTGCCTCTGCACAGTGCTCCTATGGCAATTTCTGTATAACATCTAAGGCCTGATTATAAGGCACCTTCTTTCCCAGCTCCTATTCCATGCTTACAACAGGAAAAACTCCTACTGCACAGCACCATACATTTAATGAACTATTTCATGAACTTCTGATCACATTTTTTTTTCTGGATAAAAGCTTTGTGCCAACTTAGATGATGTAACAAGGGTCTATCTGGTAAATATGTACCATCATTGTTCCGGGGCACAGGGTAAAGAGTTTCTTACATGTACAATGTTAAAAACATTACATAATTTTATTGAAATTAATGTCAGAGTAGAATTTATATCATTAAGCTTAGAACATGTTGAATACTACATTTTATAAATTTTATATATAATTTTATAAATCTTAATTATTTATAAGTTAAAACACATATTCAATATAGAAATATGCATATATATGGGTTCTATCTTATACCACTGTAGGATGAGGCAGGGGAATAAAAGCTAAATAAAAGCATTAAGTGTCCCTATGAGGATCATAGGTCACTGGTAGGTACGAAGGGATCATTTGGGAGATGCAAAGCAGGTATCCGTGAGCTGGCTGCTGTAATGGCAGTGGGCTTCCTAAGCAGGTGTATGCGCAGTAGTTACTGTACCGGAAGTGGCCCTTACTTGTAGCACAGAATTGCTGACATCTTTCTACTGCATACAGTGAAACCAAGTCTGAGTCAGAGTCTACAGGAAGAGAAAAGAAAATAACACAATATGTAGCTCTTTAAGATATCTGTTAGAAACTTAATGTAAAGCCGAGACTACGTAACACTCTCCAGAGAAACTGAAGAAAGCATAAATAAATGTTCAAATGTCTTCCCCCCCCCAAATTATTTGTAAATTCAACATAATTCTAACAAAAATAACAGGTTAGTCACAAAAATTGATAGGCAACATTTCTCCTCTTTAAGGGGAATTTAGATAATTGAAGATCATGACAGAGGAACATGAGTGTATTTATACTACATGACTTCGAGACACAGTAGTCAATAAACTACAGTATTATCATAAAGACTGGCAAACCATCATATCAAAGAGAACTTAGAAATCAACCCACACTTTGACTGCTGACAAAGAAAGGAAGACAACTCATAAAGAATATAGTATTTTTTTTACATGAAACGATTTTGCAACCACTAAAAATTATTAGTAAGGGAGAGCACATACATCACAATACACTCACAAGTGGAAAATAGAAGCCACAAAATAACCTCATTTAGCTCATTGATGTTCTGGTAGGCACTGAAGCTATTTAAACATGAAAAGGGAACAGGTACTCTAACCAGAAGTTCTTCCATCACTCCTCGTCCCTCCACATCAAGTCAGGAGCTACTGACATAGGCTCCATCACCGCGACAGAACCCAGCACAGAAGCATGCAGTCCACTAACTTCCACAAAAGAATACCACCTTTGTGAGATCTGGATGCCTCCGTCTGCAGCAAAACCCAAGATGCCCTTGAGCAAAAACTACGGACTGGCTAAGATAAAGGTAAAGGAACCTTTTGTTCCTTTTAGAAACTGATAAGCAAAACAGTTGTTGCCTAGGAAATCCAATGAGATTTTTTTCAATGAATATGAAAAACTATACCCACATCATAAGTAAGTAATCACTGTTACTCTAATATGAAAGTGTGAATATATACTAAAAAGTGAGCCACACTTAGTTTTGGATGTGACAAGGACAAAGACTGAAGGTGTTGTTTTAATGTGAATACACATGCACAATATGTATAGACATAGGAATTTAAAAAGAGACAGGGAAGAAAACATTCTCAAAGATAACTGTGCTCGTGGGATGATGAGGAAGGAAAATGTCAGTGCTACACATTGTCCTTACGTGAAGGTGTTAAACAGTCATCTTCATCTTCTGATTGACAGGTATCATTTGAGGGCTGAATGGCTGCCAAATCTACAGATTCTAAAGCTCTGAAACACAAAAGCGTGAAGTCAAATGGAGTAAGAAAGTCAGTACGCAATTTACCTCTACTCATTAGATCCAGGAGTCCATACAGTCATAAAATGTGCCAGAGTCTACTCAACTGTCTATGGCTTTTATAAAACTGTCTGAGGACTACAACACCCTCAAAATTAAGAGCAAAGGTAAGAAAGATATTGCGTGGATGAGCCAGTCAGTAAAATACTACAAAAACAAACACACGGTCTGGGAATTGAATGGCTAACATTTGCAGCTGAGAGAATGTCACTCAAGTTTGGAAAAGCAAGCAGCATCAACGAGGGACACTGCCAGCTGGTATGGAAGAAGTCCCTGTTCTCCCCCTGAGCTAGACCTGGCAGTCTGTGTTAGCCTCCCCTCCAGCTCAGCCATCTTCATTCCTCTTTGACTCTTTGACTCACCCTCTCTGCTGAGTCCCAGGTGGGAGACCAACACCCTCTTCCTGTCCTCCTCATTTTAGCCTCCCCACACTTGCCACTTACCTTTTATATCGTTGCAGTCTGCCTACCTAAGGAGCCCCTCCTCCCTGTTCACATCCACTTAGGACTCAGGGTCTTGGTACAGACCCAGGATCCCACTAATTCTTCACTATGACTCCTCTCAGCCTCTCCTTATAGCCCCCATCTCCATCCCTTTGTGACCCCTGCCAACGAGCAGAAAAGCTCTCTCTCTCTACAAGGGATGCTGCAGCCATCACGTTTCACTGAGACTCAGGGATCGGACAGACTGGGCAAAACAAATCAAAGAACAGGACACCTACCCTACACAGACAAAACTAGATATCTACACCAAGAAACATCTGAAGCATCCTCACAACAGATGCCTAGCTCACAGCACAGAAACACAAACATGAGTACCCAAGACCAGAGGCAGCAACTCCTCTGCAATAGTCCCTGAGAAGAGCAATTTAGCTAAAATATAAAACAAGGACTTTAACATAGCAATTATGAATATGTTTAAAGACCTTAAAGACAATAGGAATAAATGAATTAATGAAATATTTGAAAACTCAAACAGTAGAAATAATGAAAACAATTCAAGACATGAAAGTAGAATTTAATAAAGAAAAATATTAATGAAAACACAAACTGAAGTAAATCCTGAAAATGAAAAAATAACGATGTCAAGCAAAGAACTCTAAGGTAAGTTTCACCAACAGAGTACAAGATTTGGAAGAGAGAACGTTAGGGCTTGAAGACGGGGGTAAAAGAAACTGACAGAGAAGTCAGAATAACCAGCAAACTGGGACACTATGAAAATATCTTTTCCATGGATAATAGGAATAAATGAAGGAGGATAAAACTGGGTCAAAGGCACAGAAAATACTTTCAACAAAATAATAACAGAGAATTTTCCAATCTAAAGAGATGTTTATCAAAGTATAAGAAGCATACAGAACACCAAATAGAAAGGACCATGAAAGAAACTCCCCATGATCCTCAAAATGGAAACACTAGACAAACAGAACAAAGAAAGGATATTAAAGGGTGGAAGAGAAAGGACCAAGTATCATATAAAAACAGACCTATTAAAATAACAACAGACTTTAGAGTGAAGACTAGAAAAGCCAGAAGGGCCTGGACTGAGATCATGGACACCAGCTCAGACAAATGTACCAGTGAAACTACCAATCACAATAGATGATGAAAGAAAACATTTCACAATCAAACACATTCAAGCAATTTCTGTGCACTAATCCAACTCTACAGAAAGGAGAAAAAAGAAAACTTCATTCTGAAGAGAAGGTTAATTACACCCAAGAGGATACAAGGAATAAATAACCCCAGAAGTTGGTCTAAATTGAGGAGGGGGGAAGCCCACACCACAATAAGAAAACATTAAGAATTAATAAATATTAACTATTCATTAATAACTCTCCATATTAATGGCCCCAATTCCTAAATAAAAACTGACTGGAGTAGAAAACAGGATCAATCCTTCTGTTGTACCCAAGAAACACACCATAACATCAAGATAGATACCACCTCAGGCAGAAGAATGGAAAAAGGTATTTCAAGGAAATGGAACCAAGAAGAAAGCAAGTGTAGCGATTTTAATATCTGACAAATTGAATTCAACCCAAAACAAAGCAGAAAAGATACAAAGACACTACCACACTCAACGGAAAAACCCAAGAGGATATTGTAATTCTAAATATTTATGTACCAAACACAAAGACATACAAATTCATAAAAGAAACATTACTGTAGATAAAACAACACACCAACCCTCACACCTTAATAGTGACTGACCTCAATTCCTCACCCCTGAAAACAGACAGGTCCTTCCAATAAAACAGAGAAATAGTTGAATTGAACAACATCATAAGCTAAGTGGACCTAACAGCATTTACAGAACAGTCCACCCCAATACCAAAGATCATGCTTCCTCTTCAGCAGTCTATCCAGTTTCCTCCAAAACTGACTACATATTAGGACAAAACCAAGTCTCAACAGATACAAGCAAACTTAAATAACTCCCTCATACCCATCTGACCTCTGTGGATAAATCTGTGGATTAATATCAACAACAGAAACAACAGAAAGCTTATGAATTTGTGGAAACTGAAGAAACCACTATTGAAAAGAAAACTGGGTCAAGGGAGAAATTAAGGAAACAAGAAACTTTATAGAATTCAATGAAAATGAAAATATAACATACCTAAACTTACGGGACACAATGAAAGTGGTTCTAAGAGGTAAATTTAGAGCCAACATCAAAACACTGGAGAAATTTCATACTAATAATGTAAGAACATGCTTAAAAGCTCTAGAAAAACAATAAATAATACCTAAAAGAAAAAAATGATAGGAAAAAATAATAAAGTTCAAAGCTAAAATGAATTTCACCCAGCTACAAACCATGTAGCCTGCAGCAGATACTTGTTTGCAATATATACCAGTGCAATATTGGCACAAAAGTTATAGAAGTTACTCACCACTTTTAAAAATTGGATTTAAGACCTACTCCCTTACATGGTACCCATACATGACAATGTTTCGTGGCCAAGAACCGAAGACTAGATAGGTCATGGGCCTTATGGGAAAAATATTTTTCTACTAAAGGAACATAGCAAAAAAATGACTCCCAATGACACATCGGCATACCCATCAAGCAGGCACCACTCAACCTCATCAGGAGAGTTTCCTTTTGCGGTAGATAGCAATTAATAAAGAGATCACAGCTCGACAGTGTGCAGATAGTTGAGACTTTAAAGCAGTCAGGTCTGAATCAAAGCCCTCCCCTCAAAGCTCAGAAATCTATGCAAAAGAGGAGGTAGAAAACTCTAAGAGTCAGAGGTGTTAATGTCTCCAATGATATAGCACCTTCCAGGAACAACAGGTGGATGTATCCATGACCTCTCAGAGACTGCAACAGCATTCATAAGACCCGCACACGTTCAAAGTAGATCAATTCCCAGCCCTCAGAGGGGAAGGTGGACACAAAGTCCCACCCCAAACCAAGATGCTACTTAACAAAGAACACACGCTGACAAGGGAAAGTCAGTGTTCTGCAGTGGAGTGTCCCTGAGTATGCTGAGCACACTCTAGGGGGCAGGACTCATGCCAGGAGTATTTGGCCAATACAAAAGGAACTCTGTGTAATTTTTTTGGGATGCACTTTTTGTTTTGTTATTTTCAGTCTCTGTTGATTTTTTTCTTGTGTATGCATGTGTGTTTTGATTTGTCTGTTTGTTTTGTTGTTGTTTATTTTAAGAGAGAGAAAACATGGAGTTAGGTGTATAGGAAGGAGGGAAAAATCTGGGAAGAGATAGGGAAAGATAATTAAAAAGTATTGTATGAAAAAGATTTAATTAAGAAAAAATAATGCAAAAGTTAAATAATATTCTGTACACTGTAAGCTACAATAATATGGAACTAGTGAAATAGAAACTTAATGGTAAAAGCAATTGAAATGTAAACCAGGACCAGGTGAACAATCTAAATAGACCTGTTAGTCGTGAAGAATTAGAAGCTGTTATCAAAAACCTCCCTACCAAAAAAAGCCCAGGACCAGATGGTTTCAATGCGGAATTCTACCAGAACTTCCAAGAAGACCTAATACCTATACTCCTTAATGTATTTCACAATATAGAAACAGAAGAGTCATTACCAAATTCCTTTTATGAAGCTACAGTTACTCTGATACCAAAACCACACAAAGACTCAACCAAGAAAGAGAATTACAGGCCAATCTCACTCATGAACATCGACGCAAAAATCCTCAATAAAATACTGGCAAACCAAATCCAAGAACACGTCAAAAAAAATCCATTATGATCAAGTAGGCTTCAGCCCAGAGAAGCAGGGCTGGTTCCACATACGAATATCTATCAATGTAATCCACCATATAAATAAACTGAAAGAAAAAACCCATATGATCATTTCATTAGATGCTGAAAAAGCATTCGACAAAATTCAACACTCCTTTATGATAAAGGTCTTGGAGAGATTAGGGATACAAGGGTCATACCTAAATATAGTAAAAGCTATTTACAGCAAGCCGACAGCTAACATTAAATTAAACGGAGAAAAACTCAAAGCCATCCCACTAAAATCAGGAACACGACAAGGCTGTCCACTCTCTCCATACCTCTTTAATATAGTGCTTGAAGTTCTAGCAATAGCAATAAGACAACATAAGGAGATCAAGGGGATTCATATTGGAAAGGAAGAAGTTAAACTTTCGTTATTTGCAGATGATATGATAGTATACATGAGCGACCCCAAAAACTCTACCAAAGAACTCCTACAGCTGATAAATACCTTTAGTAATGTGGCAGGATACAAGATCAACTCCAAAAAATCAGTCGCCCTCTTATACACAAAGGATATGGAAGCAGAGAGGGAAATCATAGAAGCATCACCTTTCACGATAGTCACAAACAGCATAAAATATCTTGGGGTAACCCTGACCAAGGATGTGAAAGATCTATTTGACAAGAACTTTAAGTCTTTGAAGAAAGAAATTGAAGAGGACACCAAAAAATGGAAGGACCTCCCTTGCTCTTGGATTGGGAAGATCAACATAGTAAAAATGGTAATTCTACCAAAAGCAATCTATAGATTCAATGCAATCCTCATCAAAATCCCATCAAAATTCTTCACAGATCTTGAGAGGACAATAATGAACTTTATATGGAAAAACAAAAAACCCAGGATAGCCAAAACAATCTTATACAATAAAGGATTTTCTGGAGGTATTACCATCCCTGACTTCAAACTCTATTACCGAGCTACAGTATTGAAAACAGCTTGGTATTGGCATAAAAACAGAGAAGTCGACCAATGGAATCGAATAGAAGACCCTGACTTTAACCCACAAACCTATGAACACCTGATTTTCGATAAATGAGCTAAAAGTATACAATGGAAAAAAGAGAGCATCTTCAACAAATTGTGCTGGCAAAACTGGATGTCAATATGTAGAAGAATGAAAATAGATCCATATCTATGCACAAAAATCAAGTCCAAATGGATTATAGACCTCAATATCAGTCCAAACACATTGAGCCTGATAGAAGAGAAAGTGGGAAGTACTCTACAACACATGGGCACAGGAGACCACTTCCTATGTATAACCCCAGCAGCACAGACATTAAGGGCCTCATTGAATAAATGGGACCTCCTGAGACTGAGAAGCTTCTGTAAAGCAAAGGACACTGTCACTAAGACAAAAAGGCAACCCACTTACTGGGAGAAGATCTTCACCAACCCCGCAACTGACAAAGGTCTGATCTCCAAAATATATAGAGAACTCAAGAAACTAGACTTTAAACTGCTAATTAACCCAATTAAAAAATGGGGCACTGAACTGAACAGAGAATTCTCAACAGAAGAAGTTCAAATGGCCAAAAGACTCTTCAGGTCATGCTCAACCCCCTTAGCAATCAGGGAAATGCAAATCAAAACAACTTTGAGGTATCATCTTATACCTGTCAGAATGGCTAAAATCAAAAACACCAATGATAGCCTTTGCTGGAGAGGCTGTGGAGGAAGGGGTACCCTCATCCATTGCTGGTGGGAATGCAATCTTGTGCAACCACTTTGGAAATTGGTGTTTCGGTTTCTCAGGAAATTCGGGATCAACCTACCCCTGGACCCAGCAATACCACTCTTGGGAATATACCCAAGAGATGCTCTATCATATGACAAAAGCATTTGTTCAACTATGTTCATAGCAGTATTATTTGTAATAGCCAGAACCTGGAAACAACCTAGATGTCCTTTAATGAAAGAATGGATGAGGAAAGTGTGGAATATATACATATTAGAGTACTGCGCTGTGGTAAAAAACAATGACTTCTCGAATTTTGCATGCAAATGGATGGAAATAGGAAACACTATCCTGAGTGAGGTAACCCAGACCCAAAAAGATGAACACGGGATGTACTTACTCATAATTGGTTTCTAGCCATAAATAAAGGTCACGGAGTCTATAATTGGTGATCCTAAAGAAGCTAAGTAAGAAGGTGAACCCAAAGAAAAACATATAGTTATCCTCCTGGCTATGGGAAGTAGACAAAATTGCCGGGGAAAAAAATGGGATCATGGGTGTGGGGTGGGATGGGGGTAAGGGGAGATGGGAAGAGAAAAGTGAGAAGGGGAGGATGGGGGGAACTTGGGGAAACATGATGACTGGGATAAAGGAAGGTTGGATAGGGGAGCAGGAAAGCACAAATCTTAGTTAAGGGAGCCACCTTAGGGTTGGCAAGAGACTTCAACCTAGAGTGGCTCCCAGGAGCCCAAGGTGATGTCCCCAGTTAGTTCCTTGGGCAGCTGAGGATAGGGAACCTGAAATGACCCTATCCTATAGCAATACTGATGAATATCTTGCATATCACCATAGAACCTTCATCTGGTAATGGATGGCGATAGAGACAGAGACCCACACTGGAGCACCGGAATGAGCTCCCAAGGTCCCAATGAGGAGTGGAAGGAGGGAGAACATGAGCAAGAAAGTCAGGACCACGAGGGATGCACCCACCCACTGAGACAGTGGGGCTGATCTATTGGGAGCTCACCAAGGCCAGCTGGACTGTGACTGAAAAAGCATGGGATAAAACCGGACTCTCTGAATATGGCGGACAATGAGGGCTGATGAGAAGCCAAGGACAATGGCACGGGGGTTTGATCCTACGTAATGTGATGGCTTTGTGGGAGCCCAGCCAGTTTGGATGTTCACCTTCCTAGATATGGACGGAGGTGGGAGGTCCTAGGTCTTACCACAGGGCAGAAAACCCTGACTGCTCTTTGGACTGGAGAGGGAGGGGGAAAGGAGTGGGGGGAGGGGGAGAAGGGTGGGAGGAGGGGGAGGGAAATGGGAGGCTGCGAGGAGGCGGAAACTTTTTTTTTCTTTTTCTCAATAAAAAATTAAAAATAAATAAATAAATAAAAAGGTTGGGGATTTTATGGAGTTGCGGAAATTAAAAAAAAAGCAATTGAAATGAATTAAAACTGATATGACAATAACTTTGTCAGTTTACAGAAAGGTGTGCTCTAGAATATGAAAGTTTTTCTGTACACAGTAGAATAATAAACACTATGCGGATGGGTCTAAGTATACCAGTGACCCAGTCTGCCTAGACTGCGATGGGAAGATCAGAGGCCCAGTTGGCCTAGACAGGATTAGAGTCTGAGTTAAATTCTCCATAAGTCCATGAGGAGAATCAGGGAAAAGACAAAGGCCACACACAGCCCAGGAATGATACTTCCTTATAAATTAACCTAATGATGATCATATTTATATTTTCTAAGAAGAGAATAAAAAAACTCACCTTTTCAGCTGATCTACATCAGGGTTACTTTCTGGTAAGACTCTGATCCCCCGACCATAGCTGGTCCCTCCATGAAGATGAAACTCCAACCTTATCAGTGAAGTCATGGACTCTGAATTAACTGGCTGAAGTCTGGTATGGAGGCTATAGATTCTAAGAAAGCTTCCAATCTGAAAGATTATTAAAGAAGATCATTTCAGAAAAGGGGCCTAATGAAAACAATTTCTGATATTTGATAATTCAAAACCAAAATGAGGTAGCAATTCGACAAGCAAGCACGGCATTTACCCAGGGGAGAGTGGCAGCAGGCACGCACTGGGCCTGCACAGCAGCTTCAGGGGCCCTTATCAGATCGTGCACGAGGGGCATGAATATGCACACACCCACGCGCTCACTACACAACGCTAGCAGGCCGAATCCCAGAGGGCCATCAATAAAATATACCCAAGGAATCCAAGACCTAAATAAAATTCTTTTTGATAGTTATTTCTGAAAAGAATTTGCTTGAATAAATTTAAATGAGATTAAATATGAGGAATAATATCCTCTCACTATGAGACAGGAGAAAAACTACATAAAAATGGCCTTTTTTTTTCACAAGATAATTTTCTCGATAGCTACAGCAATGCCTGTGCCTTATCTTCTGACCGATGAGATTATAGGTATGTGCCACCATGTGCTTTTCCCCATCCTACAAATTCTATTGATATCAAAGTTTTTTTAATGAAGCACTTGTACTTTTATCACAATCTTGCAAAATATATTCTGTAAAGTAAAATATAGGATTAAGCCAGAATTTTGAAATAACGATATTAGACTTAATCTTGGCTATTTTGCTAAATTTAGTGTAAAAAACAACTAGAGGTTTTTTTTTTTTTCCAATGACGATTTCAAGTAAGAACATGTAGTAGGTCAGTCAAAGCCACAGGTGATGTGGGAGAGTCTTCTGTTTTGTGTTGATTTCATTGGTTAAATAAAGAAACTGCCTTGGCCCTTTAATAGGACAGAAAATTAGGTAGGCGGAGTAGACAGAACAGAATGCTGGGAGAAAGAAGCTGAGTCAGGCAGTTGCCATGATTCTCCCACCTGACACAGACGCAGGTTAAGATCTTCTCTGGTAAGCCACCTCCTGGTGCTACACACATTTTTAAAAATGGGTTAAGCAAGATGTGAAAATTAGCAAATAAGAGGCTACAGATAACAGGCCAGGCAGTGTTTAAAAGAATACAGTTTCCGTGTAATTATTTCAGGGCATAAGTAGCCCGTCGCTCCTCACTACACACAGGCATTTAGACGCAGTGCTGTGGTATAAGTCTCTATTACCAGGTATTAGGGAATACTGTGTATTGTTTGTCATGGGTTCAAACCTAGCCTGAACAACCCCATTTGAACAGAGACTGCCACTCCACCTAAAGGGACAAGACACACAACGTGAACTGCGCTGCCATTTATGTAGACATGAACAAAGGGCTGCAGAAAAGGACACTTCATTCACTTGCCTAAAAATAGCGTTCCTGACTGCAGCAGGTGAGAAGGCGCCCTTGAAGCACAATTAATACAAACTCAGAGAGAAATTGGGGTTCAAACTGAAGATCTGAAAAGCAAAGCAGTCAGCCACTGGCTCTGACCATGACCGCAGTCCAAAAATGGCGATCCTGCCTCCAGGAATCTCAGAATGAGACAGAGCTGTCTCCTCTCATTTTGTAATCCTGTCTAGTTCTGAGATTAAAGGCGTGAACCCTGGGATAAAAGGTATGCACCACCTGGTTTCTACGGCACCTAAAGGAGCTACTGGGATTAAAGGTGTGCATCACCACTGCCTGGTGTGTAAGGCTGACCAGTGGGGTTGCTTTACTCTCTCAACTTCAGGCAAGCTTTATTTATTAAAATACAAATGAAATGCCACTACACACCTTTCTCTTTGTCCCTACAAATCCTGCTTCATTGTGGTGACATAATACAGTGGAAAGAGGCATCAAATGGAGGGAGAGGGAAGGGGGTAGAAGGGAGCGACAAGGAGCCCAAGCCAGCTTCCACTCTGCACTCTCTGATGGAGCACAGTGGTAAGGATGAAGATCCATTCTCCCACCACCACCCCTTCAGGCCAGGGCACTTCACTTTCTGTGGCCCCTGTGTGCTTCTGAGGACAGGGAGGCAAGAGGAGGGATCAAGTCTACTCTTTCCCAACTTCCTTTACCGGCTCCTCAGAAAAACAAAACAGAAAACCACAAGGGAAATATGCATTGTCTAAGAAGGATCCAAAGTGAGATACTAGGATAGTAAATGAAGCAATTTCGACTTCTCAATGATTTTTGGAATGCTTCTTACTTTTTTATTAGTAGAGCAGATTTTTGTAACCTTTGAAGGACTAGAAAGAAGACTGAAATTTGGAGAGAAAAATTACATTAATAAACACGAATTTAACTGCCAAAACCATGGTTTCCTTACCATTAACTTTTAAATTTAAGAAAATTAGAGGCAGAAATTTCAGTGTCTTTCATGACATCTGAAAATGTCTTTTTTTTTTTTCTAAAAATGAGAATGAAAGACAAAGGTCAAGAGCACTCTGGAGAGCAAGAGGCAGAGACAGTGGGGACGCCAGAAGGTCCCACATGCAGCTTTGCTTCAGAGGAACCTGTGGTAAATCTTCTAGAGGAAGTTTCATAGTGAATGCCGGGGGTTTATTATCCTGCACCACACTGCACTATCTGAATCTACAGGCCAGAGAGAACACATCACAGAGTAAAGATGACAAGTTGCTCTTATCAGAAATGCCTTCCGGAGACAATGCTGTATCTTGTTAAAGTTTGAGTAGACGTTACTGTGCAATGTGCCTGATGCTGATTACTTGTGTGGTCCCATCAATAATGCAGTAGGGTTCTATAAGCAGAGGAACGACAGTAAAAACACAAAATGCAAAAGTCTAACCAATATAGAACTATTAAAAACAAGAGTTTTCTCGCCAAAAAACTACAATATCTTTATTTTTTCCTGTAGTCAATCTACAAATTATTAGTTCACAATTGGCCAAGATGTAGTAACAACTATGAATATTTTACACTGTTTGAAGGCTGCATGGAGATATGAGTGTGTATTAGTAAGTATGATTTTAGCTTATAGACAAAAGTTTAAAATGTCATTTTGTACTTGTACATCTGTAAAAAATACTAGAAAAATAGCTTAATACCAAACGAATTTCACAGAGAACCTGAGCTGAAACTGACCTGAGGCCCCTCCTTGAAGACAAGCTTTCATGGTACTAGGTGTCATGTGAGGCTCTAAAGAAAGAAGCATCTGAGAGTCCTACCCTGCTACGATGCCCGTGAACCTCAACAACGACCAGCATGGCACAATAACCCCAAGGATGTAGCAGTAGCCTGCGTGCCTTAGTGGGAACCAACAGCTCTGTAATCGGACTAGTGTCGGTTTAACAAGAGGGGAACCTACCTCACCAGCCACCCAGGGTTAGTGAATTCACAACTGCTACTCTAACAAACCAGCATAATTCCTAACTACACTCTAAATACACGACCTTATACCCGCAAGTGTGGTCATCACCACTCATCAAGGGAACTCTTTATAATGGACAAAGATCATTACCAAAAAGCCACAACCAAAATGTAGAATTGTAGAGCCTAGTTCTGGTAAATACACACTGACAGCACAAGTCTTACACCTAAAGTTCAGGGATCATTTCAGATGACATGAGATAATATTATAAGAGCCAGAGGAACTGGAAGTTTATGGTGACAATATGTCTCTAGAAATGTAAGAGAACCTAAACCCATGAAGTCTCATCTCCGAGGCTGCCTAACCATGACCTGAACAAGGATGATATGAACAGACAGCTAATGTGGAAGGGAGAAAGGCCGTGATACTTCATTCCTAAACAAAGAACTGCAGGCAACCCAGCGGTGCTGAGAGTGGAGAAAGAGTCTCCAGGGATGAGCTCATCAATTGGTTATCCAATACAAATGTCACACTAAAACATACATGCAAGTAACACTATAAAGATCAAACATACAGTATTTATATATTTATGAATCAACACAATAATATGCACATTAACAACAAAGAAAAAGAGGCCAAGAATTGGAAGGAAGTGAGGGGAAGAGATACATGGCAGGGTTTGGAAGAAAGGGATAAATAATGTGATATAATTATATTCTCAAAAATTACAATAAAAAATTATGGCTGCTTAAGATGGGTTCAGAGCTTTCTTTAACTTAGACACACATAGTTTTCTAAACTTAAAAGCTGAAACAAGTAAATCTGAAATGAATTTCTAGACTCTAAATAACAAATAAATCTACAAATAAAATTATATCAACAAAAATTACAACTAAAAAGAACACAGAAACAAAATAGCATACATCTTTCTAGTCAACATCACCTTCAGGGATTTTGCCATTTGGACATGATTATCATAAACTACAACGTCTATCACCAGATTCTGTAGCCGCAGAATGTGACTTAAGTCACCTTCCAGCACAAGGTCTTGGATGCAGACTCTCCAAGAGGGAAACTTCGTCCTGGTGCCATCCCATACCTGTCATAGGGTAGTAAAGCAAATCTTAGGAATATTTTTGCAAAAACAGAGTCAAATTTAAAAATAAACAGACATACACTGGTATCTGTAATGCTTTAAAGTATGAAGTCCCTTATTCTGTGACCATGGAGCAACTAAACAGGTACTGTCTGTCATACAACAAATGCAGAAGATGTGAAAATCACCACACGATGTCACACGAAACTAACCTGGTGCAGATGTAGACTGACTTTTTTTTTCTATTCTGGGCTCAAAGACACTGTGCTCATACCCCACCCCTTGGGGATGTATGACTTCTGCATTGCTACCAAAGATAAAGGTCTGAGATGGAATGGAGGTGTTAAATCATGAAACTATAACAGTCTCAAGCTGAATAACAAAACAAAACTAAACAGAACAGAATATGCTTGAGCAAATTACAACTGAAAAGCATTTGCTCCGCACATGCACTGTATAAATAGAAGAACAGACTGAAAGTACAATGATTTTTAAAGATCCCTGAGGCCAGAGAGCTGACAAAGCATGCTGCTCTTGCAGAAGTCATGAGTTTGATTTCCACCACTCACGTCAAACATCTGACAACTGCCTGTAACCTCAACCTTAGGGCGTCAGACACACTCCTACGGCCTCTCCAGGCATCTGTATAAATGTGCATATTCCCACACATATACATGTAATAAAAAAATACATTCGTAAGCCACTGGTAAAACATGGTGATCTGGTTAACTGTCAACTTGGCGTAGCCCAGATTCGTTTGAGAAGAGAGCCTCACTTAACTGCCAAGATCAGACTGCCTTGTGTGAGGAAGACTGCTTTGATTATTCATGGGTACAGGAGGGCCCAGGCCACTGTGGGCTACATCATCCTTAGGCAGGTGGACCTGAACCAAGAAACAAAACTGCTCAGCACAAGCTGGTCTATAAGCCAGTGAACAAGTGGTAGCATCCTCCATGCTTTCTGCCATACTTAACTGAGTTTTACGTTTAAAGTTAGAGGATTTTTGGTGTGGAATTTCAAGCTTCAAGTTCCTGATTGAGTATCTGCCCTGATATCCTCTGGATTGTGACCTAGAAGTATAATCCAGATTAACCCTTCCCTAGGTTGCTTGTGGTCTCATCACAGCAACAGAAATGATACGAGAACACATGGCTGCTGAGAAAACCGGAAATGCATGCACCATGATTACTAAAAAGGGGCCACAGTTAGTACTGTGCTAAGGTTGAAGAAGGAAATAATTATATTACTTTGCATACTAACCAGGTATAATTCAGAGCGAATAATGTCTGCTTGCTTCTGTTTTTAATATTTAATTAAAAAATTATGTCTGAGGCCAGTAATAGTAGTGCAGACCTTTAATACCAGATGTAGGCAGATCTCTGTGAGTTCAAAGCCAGTCTGGTCTAAATAGTGAGCCAGGACAGCAAGGGCTTTGTAGAGAGACCATATCTCAAAGAAAAAAATTATCAGAAAAAAAAATCAAAAATTCCATTCTGCAAAAGTCGTTAAGAGAATATTGTTACCATATTTATCTCCAAAGACATTTTTGCTATTGTATGGACATTTTCAGTCTATGAATATGCATATCAATAAGCAGACTATTACTAAAATTTATTTCAACAAGGCCATGTCTGTAACCTCACATATAAAGAACATTCTAGCACACAGAAGTAGTCCACACAACAGGTTTTGTTTCAAGTGCACTTTTTCCAAACATTTAAAATAATTTCTAAACAGGAAGTTTATAAAATTAAAATTGTTAGATGATATGCAAAGACTTGAGACATATTTTTAAACTATCCTTAAGAAAACTTAACTTTTTTACATTCACTTCTCAATGCTGATTTTCAAATAATTCCTTGATCTTGTTCATACTCATCAACACTGCAGCCTCAAGGCAGAGGACCCGCCCAGGCTTCACCCCTAACCGAGAAGTGACTGGCAGCTGCTGTCTGCTATAAGAGGAAGTAGGGATGAGGGACAGTTAGAGGAGATGTGGGAGTGGACTATGATCACGTTTCATTGCATACAAGCATGGGATTCTCAAAGAGTAAATTTTTTAAAGAAAAACTCTTTCTCCAAGGTACAAATAAATTACTCAAGAGCTGGATGATTTATGTGAAAAACAATATTATATCTACTCACACGGTGCTTGAGAGAGAAAATGCACTTTCGCCGCTATCCACTGAGCTCGCAAGGCTTTAGCTCAGAATTCAACTGCTTTTCTCAGCATAATCGTTTAAAGGAACCCGGCACAGAGTCCGCATCTCTGTTCTGGGAATGTTTAGTGGCTGGTCAGGGGACATCAGTTCAGGGTAGCCTCCCTGCACTCGCTCACTTCAAGTGTTTACTTTCTCCCAGCACTGTTTACGTGAAGCTGGACTTTCACGCGCGTGCCAGCAGTATGGGGAAGCCCTCAATCTTGTCCAAGCACCAGGACATTTCACTGATGGTCTGATTATTACAAGTGACAGAGAATTAAGCACAGGACCTTGGTCATATAGCAGTACTGCTCAAAAAATCCTGAAAAGTATGGTCCAGCAAAGAATTTGATTAAGTAATGACCTTCTGCAGGTCATTCATGGGCATTACTTATGTTACTATTTTTTTTTTTTTTTGGCTGCTTTAAAAACAAGAATGATAAGAAACATCTCAGTATTACCTGTGCCTCTCCCGTGAGTCAGGCAGTTATGACAGGGCCAGAACTGAATGAGAACAGACCCTGATAGTGGATGGGAGACAACATAGCTGACTGGAGTGTCACTAAAAGAACTCGTGGGTTTTATTATTAAAATAAGAAATAAATGCAGATGTCATACCATTTGTAAAGTACACATCTGACAATGGTGTTCTCTCCGGAGGGAAGGCACAGAGAAATGCAGGAGCACGGCCTCAAGGATTTAAAACGCACCTTCAGAAGGAAAGATGTCCCATCCACTTCCGCTTTGCCCAGGAGCTGACAGGTCAGGTCACAGTACTGCATGGGGTGGACGTCAGAGAGTGGCAGGAGGGTGGAGGAAGGTGGCACATGTGTGGATGCCCAAGCCCGCAAGGCTTCTACCATATTGCGGTCCAGAGCAGTGATGTTAAAGTTTTTGCCTGAAGTGCGCAGTGTCACAGGAGACATTAAAGTACCATCAAATGTCAAAGATGCAAAACCATAGTTGCTGATTGCCTGAAGTTCGTTTTTATATACTTGGATCTAATAACGTGGGGCAAAGCAAAAAACAAACAAAACAGCTGATATGAAACCCAGGAACCAAAGAACTTGAGATGTTAAGTTTTTCTAGTGTGAGAAGCAGAGTGACCCTTTACTATTTCTTACTGAATTAATTCATGAAACAATACAATGAACACATCTGTATCAGGGTATATAAGCATGCAACTTTAAAACAGTACAATTGATACTTTTTAGACCAGCAGCTAACTAATAGTTATCCCGATTCTCTTTGCACTCTTACATTTGTGTGTTTAATTTATTGAAGTATAATTTTCCTTGAGGAAAATATAACGTGCCAGTTATTTCTGTGGTATAGTGGAATCCAGAACCCCCCAATGTGTGAACCAAGCTAAGTCACCCTCACCATGAGCGAGCTGGGCAGTGCCGGAAGGACTTTAGCTGCCTGAGTCTTGAGGCTCATTTATCAAATAAGTGGTTTTAGTATTTTCTTCACGAACTGACTTTGTTCATATAGAATGCTCCCCTTTCTCTTCACAGATTTCTGTGGTTCTTCATGTCTGATAGTAAGATATAGCCATTTCATTTTCTTGTTGCTTGATAATTGTTTCTTATAGTTTTAGTTTGTAGGTAGCATATGATACTTGATATTTACTTATTTATACTTTGCTGTTGATAATTGTTTCTTATAGTTTTAGTTTGTAGGTAGCACATGATACTTGATATTTACTTATTTATACTTTGCTGTTGATAATTGTTTCTTATAGTTTTAGTTTGTAGGTAGCACATGACACTTGATATTTACTTATTTATACTTTGCTGCTAGTCAGGACACATTCACTCTAAAAACATTCTCACAGGTCCAGGAGTGCTGCACAGGGCCGATTCCCTTTTGGCCCCCAGTCTGTGCTGTTCAGCAACTGTGTCCTATTGTTCCTTTGCTATTCTTAGGGTACCGCTTAACTCCTGGGGTATAAATAATCCTTGCGTCTCAGTGGGTGCTGAATCAGTATTTTCTACCACACTCCCTGCTTTCCGTCCCACTGCCCTCTGCACACTCTACTACGCACCACTGCCATCTCACATGACTGCTCTTGCCCCAAACACTCATTTATCTCAGTGAAATTGCTAGAATAATAACAAAAAAGCTTCATATTTATTCACTCTCAAATAGCTTTGCCACTTCTTAACAAGATTCTATTTGGAAAGGTTCCACTTTACTGAAGAATATTTTATTTGGAAATAAAATTATAGGTAAATGAAATTTTATCAAAAAATCATTGCAGCTGTTCTCCCATATGGAACACGGTTTCTCCAAGCATTGCTGACTTTCTAAGATTGGATGTGTGTATGTGTATGTATCCCACATCCCATTCACTCTTTTCTCCTCTATCATGACTACATGCTAATTACATTATCAGATATTGTCACCAAGCCCACTGTGCTCCATTTATTTTTATCTAGCTCTGGTACTTCATACCTGGTAATATCTTAGGCTCTATCTTTAAAGTCTATTCCATACCAACCCCTGCAGTAGACTTTTCATTTGCTGTTCCTTTTAGGTATTGAATTTCTATTTGCTTCTTTTTCAGATTCTATTTGTCTGTTTCTGTTACTGATTTCTTTTTACTCATTTAATATTTTTTAATTTGCTGAAAGTGGTGCTCTGCTTAATCTTTTGGTAAAATTACAGTATCTGCTGATAAATTACTGTTTAACAGACTTAATGTCTGGGCCCCTGTGGAATTAATTTGGAAAGTCTAATTGCTTTTTAAAAACTGTCTTCTTCTAAGTTCCTCTACTTGTACCTAGAGCTTCTCTTCTTGACTAGACCCTGGAGTGAAACACTGCAAAGGTTCTGAACTATGTTACCTCCTCTGGAGGGGCAGTTTTGTCATTTTGGCAAGTTGCTAGCTGAGCTCCTGAAATGGACAAAAGCTTGAATTTATGCCTTCTTAGGGTGAATTTGTAGCAAGCTCAGGGTTTCCCCAAAGCCCTTCTTCCTTAGTGGGACTCACCCTGCAAACAGTGTTCCTTGTGGAATCATGTAGGTTTTTAACAGATGTGCACGAGAATCCTTCCTACAATCTTGTCGAGATAAGGCAGACTTTGTGATGTCTTACCGTAGTGGACAAGGTACCTGTTACTGTGTGTGCAAACTTGCCTCATGCTCCTGTGGTAGTAGCCCTGTCTGTGGCTACTAGGCAGCACTGGGCCTAGGCTGTTGGAAGGAGGGTCCATACCACTCCAATTTCTACTCTTGCATTCTCTGCTTCCTGCCCTGGCAGCATTGTGAGGAAAAATGCCAACATCTCTACTACGAAACTGAGCCACACTGAACTTTTATAAGTTGCATCTGATAATATTTTGTCATAGTAATGAGGAAAAATAATATGGTGTCAAAGAGGTGCAGACTTACTAGGATGGCTCTGCAGCATCCTACTGCATCCCTTTCCTGTTTCCGGTTCTTGCAATCCTCAAGTGACCTTGCCCTGCCCGTACAGCACAGCTTTCAGTCAAGTACGCATGGGCACAAAGCGGACTCCTGGTGCAGTCCGTACAGTCTTTTCTCTCAGTGCTTTGTCCAGAAGAGTCAAGTTCTTTTAGTCGAACTGAATTTTAATCTTCCCCTTCTCAGTTTACCAAAACTACACTGCTCACACTTCAGGAGTTTAAAGTTAGACAGGGCAACAGTAAGACCCCAACTTAAATAAAATTAAATTAATTAAAAAGAAGTTATGAGGATGTATGCCCCTATCCTTGACAAATTCCACATGGAAACTTGGTAACGCCAACTATACTTGGAAGTGAGAGGACAAACTGGAACGTGTTAGAAAGTCAGCTCCAAGTGCTTCGGGGAGAGCAGGCAAATGCATTCACATGATTGATAGCTGGTACCATTTGCATTTCTTGTCTCTTGGAATGCTAAGTGTCGCCCTCTAAGAAGGAGGTCATACAGTTAGTACTGGATACTTTTGTGAGCGACGTAGACGTCCAGTAAATGTAGAAAGTACGAACCATACCTTCAGCCCGCGGAAACACACAATGTCGCCAACTTTATAAATGACTGGAAGGTCCTCATACTTCCTACTAAAGAGCAGGCATGTTAACTTCACACCTGTCTGGTCCACAATTGTTACAACGGAACAATAATCTGGGAAACAAAAAATATTTAACACAGATTAAGAAATTTCAAAGCATTTATACAATAAGAATATGCTAATTTAAGAATGTCAAACAAATACTACTCTACCCTATTATTGCCTTTTAAGAAAATGTGATACCATTCCCAAATTAATCCACAAAAATTAACCTTCAGACTTGTAATGAAACAAAAATAAATATGCTATTTTTCTAGAGAACAAATAACTTTTTCATAATGTTAAAATCAAAAAGGCAGAAAAGCAAATCATTGCCACCAAATATCCAAAGAAATTAATTACTGTAGATATTTTTAAATGACAAAATATGTAAGAGTCAATAGGGAAAAAGGAAGCAATGGTGTTCTAAAGGAATAACATTTTCCTTAGGAGAAAAAAAAAGTCTGATTTAAAATATTCCCCTTCTGAAGATACTGACATCTGGAGGTTGTGTACCCTACATTGTCATACTTAAGACTCACCCGTTGACCCTTAAGACATCGGATACAGAAACCAGAGGCAGGAAATGGGTCAGAGCAGGAAGCAAATGCAGTGTTTCCCCAGGTTCTTCAAAAGTTACAAACCAAGCCTGAGAAGGAAACTGCACCTAGGATACAGTGAGAAATGTATCCTAGGTACAAATGAGCCTCAGCCAACTACAAAGAAGGCCAGGGCAAAAATCCATCTGCTAGAATAGGAGGTCAGAAGACTGTCCAGGAGTTTCATAAGAAATAACTGATTTGTGGGGAACAGTATCAACACAATCAGTGAAACTCAGCAAGGAGAATTTGATTCTCCTTGCCTTTTTTGTTTTGTTTGTTTTTTTGTCCACTGCTTGGTAATTGTAGTAGATTCTGGAGTTTATTTGGCAATGAATAAATAGATTGGAACATTTGCCCTCCTACTGAAGAACAATGAAAATTTAAAGAAATCAGGGTAGGAAAGGCCTTAGTTGGTGCTTCTATTACTGTGATGAAAATACCATGGCCAAAAGCAACTTGGGAGGAAAGACTGTATTTCAGTTTACACTTCATCCCTGAAGGAAGTCAGGGCAGGAACCAAGGTGGGAACTGAAGCCTAGGCCATGGGTAAATGTTTACTGGCTTGCTCCCATGACTTTTTCAGCATCCTTTCTTAGACAGCCCAGGGCCACCTGGCACTACCCACATTGGGCTGAGTTCCCCATATCAATCTTCAATCAAGAAAATACCCCCACAGATTTGGCAACAGCCAATCTGATGGAGGCATTTTTGCAATTAAGATTGTTGTCTTTCACGATACATCTAGCTTTGTGGCAAGATGACAAACACCAACCAATAGAGGGGGTTATTTCATATATATATCTATATATATATCTGGCAACATGAATTTTCAGTGGCAAAATAAACATAAGAACGCCAACACCAACTGAACTGGTAAGGAACACGCATAGGACCAAACTAGTCCCTCTGAATGTGGTTGGCAGTGGCATGGCTGGGGTAGACTGAGGGGCCACTGGCAGTGGCACCAGGATTTATCCCTACTGCATGTACTGGCTTTTTGGAAATCTATTCCTTTTAGATGGATACCTTGCTCAGTCTAGATATAGTAGGGAGGGCCTCAGATCTTCCCCAAAGCAATGTGCCTTACTCTCTCTGGAGAGTGGCGGGGAGGAGGGTAGGTGGAGGGAATTGGAGGAGGGGAGGGAGTGGGAACTTGGATTGGTATGTATAATGAAAAAAGATAGTTTATTTTCTTTTTTAAAAATATATGAAGAACTCAAGAAACTAGACATTAAAATTCTAAATAACCCAATTAAAAAATGGGGTACTGAACTGAACAGAGAATTCTCAACAGAAGAAGTTCAAATGGCCAAAAGATACTTAAGGTCATGTTCAACTTCCTTAGCTATCAGGGAAATGCAAATCAAAACAACCATCTTACACCTGTCAGAATGCCTAAAATCAAAAACACCAATGATAACCTATGCTGGAGAGGATGTGGAGTAAGGGGAACACTCATCCATTGCTGGTGGGAATACAAACTTGTGCAACCACTTTGGAAATCAGTGTGGCAGTTTTTCAGAAAATTAGGAGTCAACCTACCTCATGATCCAGCAATACCACTCTTGGGAATACACCCAAGAGATGCCCAATCATACTATAAAAGCATTTGTTCAACTATGTTCATAGCAGCATTATTTGTAATAGTCAGAACCTGGAAACAACCTAGATGCCCCTCAATGAAGAATGGATAAAGAAAGTGTGGCACATCTACACATTAGAGTACTACTCAGTGGAAAAAAACAATGACATCTTGAATTTTGCATGCAAATAGATGGAAATCGAAAACACTATCCTGAGTGAGGTAACCCAGACCCAAAAAGATGAATATGGTATGTACTCACTCATTAGAGGATTCTAGCCATAAAAAAAGGACATTGAGCCTATAATTCGTGATCCTAGAGAAGCTAAATAAGAAGGTGAACCCAAAGAAAATCATATATAGATCCTCCTGGAAATTGGAAGCAGACGAGATCGCCAGGCAAAAGTTGGGAGCATGGGGGTGGGGGGAGGGGAATGGGGGGAGATAAGGGAGAAGGGGAGGATTGGGGAGAGCTTGGGGGAAGAAGGGTGGATATGGGAGCAGGGAAGAAGATATCTTAATTAAGGGGGCCATTTTAGGGTTAGCAAAAGACTTGGCTCTAGAGGTGTTCCCAGGAGTCCATGGAGATGTCCCCAGATAGGTCCTTGGGCAGTAGAGGAGAGGGAGCCTGAACTGGCCTTGTCCTATAGTCACACTGATGAATATCTTGAATATCACCATAGAACCTTCGTCTAACAATGGATGGAGATAGAGACAGAGACCCACATCTGAGCACTGGACTGAGCTCCAGCAGAAGGAGGGAGAATATGAGCAAGGAAGTCAGGACCACGAGGGGTTGGTTCACCCACTGAGACAGTGTGCCTGATCTAATGGGAGCTCACCAAGGCCGGCTGGACTGGGACTGATGGAGCATGTGATCAAACCGGACTCACTGAATGTGGCTGACAATTGGGGGCTGACTGAGAAGCCAATGATAATGGCACTGGAATTTGATTCTACTGCATGTACTGGCTTTTTGGGATCCTAGTCTGATTGGATACACACCTTCCTAGGCCTGGATGGAGGGGGAGGGCCTTGGACTTCCCACAGGGCAGGGAACCCTGACTTCTCTTAGGACTGGAGCGGGAGGGAGAAGGGTGAGTGGAGAAGCAGGAGGCAAATGGGAGGAGGGGAGGAGGTGGAAATTTTGAATGGTATTATTTATAAAGCAATAGAAAAAGAAAAAAAAATAGAAAACAATTAAAAATTTAAAAAACAAGCATCATTTATCACTTCTCTTTTTGTACTTTACTTTTATAAACATTAATTCTTTAATTCTTAAATTGAAAGTATTTTGTATAATATATTCTTATCTGTTTTCCTTTCTCCAACTCCTCTCAGATCCTCCACATCCAAATCCATTCCCTTTCTTTCCCTATCTCATTAGAAAACAAACAGGCAACAAAACCAAAAGCAGAATAGAGCAAAACAAACATTCTATTAGCAGACCGGTAGTAGTTTTCTCCTAGGTCCATGGCCTATCTAGTCTCGAGTTCTTGGCTCGCTGAGCACTGTCAGGCATGGGCTCCATCTCATGGAGGAGGCCTTAAATCTAATGGACAGTAGCTGGTTACTCCCACAGCTTTTGCTCCAGCACATCATGCAAACAGCGTCGCTGTAGATCAAGGGGTTGTTTACCTTTCTCCTCTTCCACAGTGAGTGCATGAAGACTATGTATACAGAAGCAAGTACCATCAAACACTGAACAATGGCAAATGTTCTTCCCATGTACCATCACCATCCCTATCTTAGTTAGGTTTTTATTCCTGGGAAGAGACACCATAACCACGGTAACTTTGTAAAGAAAACATTTAATTCAGAGGGTTTGCTTACAGTTTCAGAGTTCAGTTAATTTGGGGCATGGCGGCGTGCAGGCAGAAGTGGTGCTGAAACTGAAGAGTCCTGCATCCTGACTCAGAGACAACAGGAAGTCTACTGACTCACTGGGCCACATCCTGAGTATATGAAACCTCAAAGCCCACCACAACAGTGACACACTTCCTCCAACAAAGCCACATCTCCTAATAGTGCTACTCCCTTTGAGATTATGGGGTCAAATACATTCAAACTACCACAATCCCCAAAGTACTTTCTGAATCAGTTGCAGTTTCTCAAAGCCCACCCTGCGCCTAACTCTCCAGCTGGGTTTTGACACACTTCCAAAGCTGGTGCTGGAACTGCAATTGAAGCCATATCTTTTCAATTTTAGCCCATTTCTTGTAATGGTGAAAACAAGAATTTTGTAGTCAGACATGCGGCTGGTTTGCCAGAAACAATGGTGTACTTTGATAACCTGCCACTTTTACATAGAATCTTCACTGAGGCTAAGAGAAGCCTTGGTTACCCACATGCACATGCGCACACACACATGTGCGTGGGTGCAAAGACCATGAGCGCTGCTTTCCTGTCTCCATCACATCACACACCCACACAGAGTCACCTTGAAGACAGAATGACATCAGGAAGAATCCAAAAGGAGAGCAAGAGAGCAAGGAAGATATCTCGGTCATGGAGGGGGTTGCTGAGTAACACTGACGACTCATGTTTGATTCCCCAGAACCCAGACATAAAATTAAAACAAACAAAAAACAAACCAGCAAACAAAACCACCGCAGGTACAGTGGCATTTAGTAAGAGATAAGCAATCTGTATGACTTCCCGGGGGAAGGCTGTTTCTTTGCGCTCACTTCTCCTCAGTTGCCGTGGTTCTAAACATAGTGGGGTTAAGGCCTCCTGGGTTTTTCCTGTCTACTTTGTTGTATCTCCAGTTCACCTCACATTTGGGCAGCCATATTGTTTCAGATTGACAGGTGCAGCCTCTGGTGTGATCTATTTCATCATCATCCCCCAATTCAACAGTCTTCACATCATCATCCACAGAGAAAATCATTATTCTTGTATACTAATAAAATAAGAATATGTGATTCCTTCTCCTTCAGCCCACGCAAGCTTTTTCCTATGTATTTGAGGACTGATTTTTTTCTTTTCCTATTAAAAAAAAATCCCCTGGCCGGGCGATGGTGGCGCACGCCTTTAATCCCAGCACTCGGGAGGCAGAGGCAGGCGGATCTCTGTGAGTTCGAGACCAGCCTGGTCTACAGAGCTAGTTCCAGGACAGGCTCCAAAGCCACAGAGAAACCCTGTCTCGAAAAACAAAAACAAAAAAAAAAACAAACAAAAACAAACAAAAAAACAAACAAAAAAAAATCCCCTGAAATTTTTAAGTGCGATTGTGATATATCTTCACATTGCTTTGAAGACTGTAAATGGAAAGACTACTGGCATAGGACATTATTTCATTTGTTTGTATCATCTCTAATCAATTCCAGCAATATTGTGAGTGTTCAGAGCATGAGCCTTGATTTCCCTGAATGAGGTCATTCCAATGTACACTACAGTATGGATGCTATTCTAAATCGTAGTGCTCTGTTACCCTCTGAAACTGTTCATCACTGGTCTGCAGAAATGCAATTTATATAATGCTAAGTTTGAATCTTGAAACATTTATTAGTTCTCAAAGGCTCTGTGTGGCACAGTATTTAGGGTTTCTATTTACAATTTTACATTCTCTCAAACACAATTTAATTTCTTCTTTCTCAGTTAGTTGCCATTGTTTTTATGTCCCAGCCTTCCCCCAACCACCATGTTAAATACAGCAACAAAACACTGGCCACCCTGACAAACTGTCTTTTTTCCTGACTGTATTAATTATGCTTTGAGAGACTCATATCCAGGTGAATTTATGGTAATTTCTTCTACACTGTGTAGTAATAAGGGGCGGTGGGGCTGCATTCCCAGCACCCCAGCCGCCTGCCCGGCTAGCTTATGCCCCGAAATAATTACACAGACACTGTATTCTTTCAAGCACTGCTTGGCCCTTTAGCTCTAGCACTTACAGGCTAATTCTCACATCCCGATCAACCCATCTCTAACAATCTGTGAGAACCGGGTCTTACCGGGAAGATTCTAGCCTAGTCCATCCTGGGTTGGAGCTTCATGCCGTGTGTCTGCCAGGGAGCGGGGCATGGCGTCTCTCTCAGGCGTCTGCTCCCGAGAGGACAGCGGTCGAGTCTCTGACCTCACTTCCTCTTCCTCCCAGCGTTCTGTCCTGTTTTCTCCTCCCACCTATCCTCTAACCAATAAAATGGGCCAGGGCAGTGCCTTTATTAGCCAATGACCTTCCTCCATCAACACTGTCTACACTGAGCTTCTGTAACGACATTCTTTGATTATTGTTCTAAAGTTGCAGACATTTAACTTCAATTACATAAATATTCTCACTGCCCCCCAGCACACTTCATCATCACAACGTAGCCTATAGAGATGCTATAGTAATGTCTTTTTCTGTTTAGTTTTCATTTCTCTGCAGACTTGAGAGTGACTGACGTGTGGTCACTACAGTACTGCAATGTTCAGTACGTGGTAACGTACTTACCTTCACCAACAAATGTTATACTTCTGAATGTTTTCATGTCACTTCGCACTCTTCTAAAATATGCATTCGTACTGTGACCACATTCACTTCATAAATTAAAATGACCAAAAACAGACATCAGTTTCATGACACTGACACTGTTCTCAGACCCAGGACACTGAAGGCATTGTGGCCCTGAGACCAACAATGCAGCTCTTGTCCATAAAACATGCCCATTCTGACACCTACCAGTTCCTTTGCTTAAGTAGGGAGGCTTAAAGAACTTCACAACACCACAGACATTGACAACTGCGCCATCCTTAAGTAGATTCAGGGGTGTGTATGTATAAGGTGCTACTGGGACCTAAGGAAAGAAAAGATAGCAAATTTACCAGCCAATATTTATATGTTATAATATTATGATAACAACTGTGAATTACTAAGTTTGTACCAATTCATTTTAAAAGATTTATCCTAAAAAAAAAAAAAAGAATGACTTTCGGGGTGGTATGATTGGAAACAATAAGGCTACCATAGATACCAATGGGTTTTCTTGAAACAATTCTGCTCATAAACAGAAATCAACACACAAGTCTATAAAAGTTTAAACATTCATTGTATTTCTTTAACAAGGAAGTACAAAAAAATTCCATTAAAATGCAGAAGCTGAAGCAGTAACAGAAAGGAAATTCTTACTTTTAACTCAATTTTTCAGATCTAAGAGAATCTTCCAGATGATGATGACAAAGTGTGATGAAGCCTCTGGACACCCAGGGGGCAACCAGAGCTCTCTGCTATCGAGGACCTAAAGCTCAATTATGACGGAGCAATGTTCAGCAAAAGAAACAGAAAAGCTCTGTGCCTAAGCTCAAGATAGACCCATACGCCACCTCAATGATCTTGTTCCTGACTCTGAGATGCATGGGAAAGCCACACAGGGACATGAACCACTATCCACCTAACTGCTTACTCAAAAACCCAACCAACCAAATAAACAACAAAACACTCGGACATGATTAATTTGACAGTCCATTGAAATTAGTCATTTCATTAATTATTTATAGAGCTAAGTTACTCTTCAATATAAATCAATAAATGGATTTTCTGCATAGTCATTCTCCTACTAACTGGGTTAATGTACTCTTGAATGGAAATCATCTAGAACATTATATATAAATTTACAAAATAAATACAAATGAGTTAATTTTTTCCCCCTGGCTGACAGCAAAATGTGACTTCCCTAAGAGGAGACTACAGAGGGTAGGAGGCATCAAAATCAGTTTGAACTTGAACAAATGCTGTTAGGGAGAGTTCACAGGGTAGGTAAGGGCAGTGGTAAGCAAATGTGTATCAGCAATAGTTGGTGACAGGGAACTAAACCACAGAGCAAACAGAACTTACAAGCAATTGTACATAACCTACACTGGAGATCTATAAGCAGTCTGATGAGCCGATGTCTAATATCTCTAACAACAGGCATGTAGTATTATAGCATCCTACCTTGTGTTTGGCTGGTAATGTGATGTCACATCCCCTTCCTTGACAGTGCCTCCCAAGGCATGCTACTGCTCTATGGCGACCCCTAGAAGAACTAGAATGCTCCTGTCCAATAAGGCCTAGCAAACACAATGGCAAAGACAGAACTTAACTATAACCAGTGCAGCTATGAAATAACATGTTATTTTCTGGATTGAGGCAGGGTCTCCTCGTGAGATGCAGGGTGTGATGCTCCAGCTGCATTCTCTGGCATGCTAGGACCACAGCATGTACCACCACTCTCAAGCAAGGACGATTTATTTACTTTGTGTGGTTTCTTTGTGTGGTCCTGGCTGTCCCTAGAGTGTGTGTAGATCATGCTGACCTCACTCTCTGATATCCACCTGTCTCTCCCTCCTAAATGCTGGAATTTAAGGTGCACACCACTCCACCAGGCTACAGAGAACTACTTTTATTATTTATTTCTGTATTTTTATTTTAATAGTCATACATGACCAGCCTCTATGGCATTAGACTGCCCAGGTCTAGAAAATCACTTACCCTAAGCTCTACTAAAACATATTCATGAGAAGGCTACAGGCTTTATATTATACTATATGGTATAAACTAAAGATAATCTGATAACATCTTCAAAAATCATTTAGCATATTGGTCATCATACATTATTTCACAAAGACATGAAAGGCTTCTACTATGTTTTGAAGGCTTGAGAAAAAGCTTGTTATACAGTGGGGGCATGAGAATGTAAGGACTGGTGACTGAAGGTACAGTTCAGAGGGTTTTGACTGTCACTCACAAAATCTGTGTTTAATCCCTAGAACCAACTATACAAGCAAACAATAATACAACCACCACAACTGAACCTTACAAACAAAACCAAACCTCATCCCTGAACAGTGGTGTGGGATTCCCCTCTGTGTGCTGTCAATATATTTCATTACCATTGGTTAATAAAGAAGCTGCTTTGGCCTATGGCAGGGCGGAATAAGGCTAGGAGGGAAATAAAGTGGAGTCAGAGAGATGCTATGTAGCTGCCAAAGGAGACAGATGCCGGAACCTTACTGATGGGCCACAGCCTCATTGCAACACATAAATTAATAAAAATGGGTTAATTTAAGATGCAAGAGTTAGTTAATAGGAAGGCTGCCTGACCTAACAGGCCAAACAGTGTAGTAATTAATTCTGTGCGATTAATTTGGGTCTGGGTGGCCAGGAACGAAAGAGCAGTCTCTGTCAGAAAAGCATTATTAAAGAAAATATAGTTTAAAGCAGTGTATAAAAGTCAAGACAATATATGCCTAAAAAATGAAAATCCACCTTCTCAGCAGGGCTGAGAAGAAGGTCAGCAGATGAAGCACTGGCCGTGGATGTGAAAGGAATACAGCACCCAGGTCGGTGCTGATTGAGTTTGCAGCTCACGAGTAATCACACTGCTCTGGAGGCAGAGTCAGAGGACCCTGGGAGCAAGCTGGCTAGCTGGACTAGAGTTCGCAAGCTCTGTGTTTGATAAGATATCAATGCTTCACGATATACTGTGGACAGGAATACAGCAAGACACCTACCCATCAGTCGCTGGTATCCACACGCACTGTCTGTGCACAGACAGTGGTTAAAAGCTTCCCTTACCTGCAGAAAGGACCCACACTTGGTTTCTAGTACCCATACTGAGTACGCACAGTCCACCTATAACTCCAGTTAAGAAGCCCCATCACCTCTGACTCTGTGCACAGTGCACGTAAATCAAGTAGGCACATGCACACACACAGACACATAAGTCAGTACCAAATGCAGGTATTTCCTATATTAACTCTATCAACACACGGCATTCTTACCAGGTTCACTCAGCTGTGCATATGGGAACCTTTCCAATGCTGCTTTAAACGTCAAACTTTTATAAAACAATGAAAATTTGGCTTAAAAAATGTATCACAGACAACCCAGCACCCCCAGCACCCCTCCCCAACCCTGCCCCGCTGTATGCTAGGACCAGTGCTCAACTACAGTCTTAAGCTCCTAAACTAAGGCGACCCACCCAGAGCGGTGAGTGCCTGCCAGCCGGGCAGGCCTCAGGGTCCCCTGTAAGGGAGCCGGGCACCTCCAGCTCCGGCGCCAGGCTTCCTGCGCGCTCCTGGATACCACCACCCCCACACACACTTGCTCCATTCATGCTGTTGGCCCTGGAATCCCATCAGGACGGTTGCGGAGGAATCCCATCTGGACGGGAACGGTTCCTGCTTCTACACTGAAGAGATATACCCTGAGAGTCAATCACAGCAAAGTCTGGACCAAGAGATCAGGCCTCTCCTGGCTCCATTTGAAGGAAGAGATGGGAAGGCGCCAATACAAGAATTCCTCCAACAATCTGAAAGGCAACATGACACCACCAGAAACCAGGGATCCCGAAATAAGAAGAATTGTACACCCTACTCCTGAAGAAATAGAAGAAATCGACTCAAAAGTGAACTATAGGAAAATAATAGAGGACCTTAAACAGGAGGTGAAAAACTGCCATAAACAATTAGAGATTACAAACAAAAAGGTAGAGGAAATGAATAAATCGCTCAAAGACACGCAAGAAAACCAAGAGAAACAAGAAAAAGCAATCAAACAGGTTAGGGAAGCGGTTCAAGACATGAAGAATGAAATGGAAGCAATGAAGAAAGCACAAACCGAGGGAAGAATGGAGATGGAAAATCTGGGTAAACGAACAGGAATGACAGAAACAAGTACTAACAACAGATTACAAGAGATAGAAGAGAGAATATCAGACACTGAAGATACCATAGAAAAAATAAACACACTGATCAAAGAAAACAGCAAAACCAACAAATTCTCATCAAAAAACATTCAGGAAATTTGGGACACAATAAAAAGACCAAACCTAAGAATAATTGGAGTAGAAGAAGGAGAAGAAGTGCAGCTCAACGGTACAGAAAATATACTTAATAAAATTATAGAAGAAAACTTTCCCAACCTGAAGAAAGAGGTACCTATGAAGGTTCAAGAAGCATACAGAACACCAAATAGGCTGGATCAAAAAAAAAAAACATCCCCTCGCCATATAATAATCAAAACACAAAATACACAGAATAAAGAAAGAATATTAAGAGCCGCAAAGGAAAAAGGCCAAGTTACTTATAAAGGTAAACCTATCAGACTTACACCTGACTTCTCTATGGAAACCATGAAAGCCAGAAGGTCCTGGATAGATGTACTGCAAAAACTAAGAGATCATGGATGCAAGCCCAGACTACTATATCCAGCCAAGCTTTCGTTCACTATAAATGGAGAAAACAAAATTTTCCAGGATAAAAACAAATTCAAACAATACGTAGCCACAAATCCAGCCTTACAGAAAATTATAGAAGGAAAATCACTAACCAAGGAGTCCAACAATCCCCACAATAACTCAGTCATCTAGAGACCTTTCACCAGCGCAACTCAAAGAAGGGAAACACACAAACCCTACTACTAAAAAAGTGACCGGAGTTAACAACCACTGGTCATTAATATCACTTAATGTCAATGGGCTCAACTCACCTATAAAAAGGCACAGGCTAAGGGATTGGATACGAAAACAGGATCCAACGTTCTGCTGTCTACAAGAAACACACCTCAACCACAAAGACAGGCACCTACTCAGAGTAAAGGGCTGGGAAAAGGCTTATCAAGCAAATGGTCCTAAGAAACAAGCAGGTGTGGCCATACTAATTTCTAACAAAGTTGACTTCAAACTTAAATCAATCAGAAGAGATGGAGAGGGACATTTTATACTCATAACAGGAACAATTCATCAGGATGAAGTCTCAATCCTGAATATCTATGCCCCGAATATAAAAGCGCCCACGTATGTAAAAGAAACATTACTAAAACTCAAGGCAGCCATCAAACCACACACACTAATAGTAGGAGACTTCAACACTCCTCTCTCACCAATGGACAGGTCAATCAGACAGAAACCTAACAGAGAAATAAGAGAATTAATGGAGGTAATGAATCAAATGGACTTAACAGACATCTATAGATTATTCCACCCGAAGAGGAAAGAATATACCTTCTTCTCTGCAGCTCATGGAACCTTCTCGAAAATTGACCACATACTCGGTAACAAAGCTAACTTACACAGTTACAAAAAATATTAGTAACCACCTGTGCCTTATCAGATCACCATGGATTAAAGTTAGAATTCAACAACAATGCTACCCCCAGAAAGCCTACAAACTCATGGAAACTGAACAGTCAACTTCTGAACCATACCTGGATTAAGGAAGAAATAAAGAAAGAAATTAAAGTCTTCCTTGAATTCAATGAAAATAAAGAAACAACATACTCGAACTTATGGGACACTATGAAAGCAGTGCTAAGAGGAAAGTTCATCGCACTAAGTGCCCACTAAAAGAAAACAGAGAAAGCACATATTGAAGACTTAACAGCCCACCTGAAAGCTCTAGAAAAAAAAGAAGCAGACTCACCTAGGAGGAGTAGAAGATTGGAAATAATCAAACTGAGGGCTGAAATCAACAAAATAGAAACACAGAAAACAATCCAAAGAATCAATGAAACAAAAAGCTGGTTCCTGGAGAAAATCAACAAGATTGATAAACCCCTAGCCAAACTAATCAAACGGCAGAGAGAGAATACGCAAATTAATAAGATCAGAAATGAAAAGGGGGACATAACCACAGACACAGAGGAAATTCAGAGAATCATCAGATCATATTACAAAAGCCTGTATAACACAAAACTGGAAAATGTAAAAGAAATGGACACTTTTTTAGATAAATACCATATACCAAAGTTACACCAGGACCAGGTGAACAATCTAAACAGACCTGTTGGTCGCGAAGAATTAGAAGCTGTTATCAAAAACCTCCCTACCAAAAAAAGCCCAGGACCAGATGGTTTCAATGCAGAATTCTACCAGAACTTCCAAGAAGAGCTAATACCCATACTCCTTAATGTATTCCACAATATAGAAACAGAAGGGTCATTACCTAATTCCTTTTATGAAGCTACAGTTACTCTGATACCAAAACCACACAAAGACTCAACCAAGAAAGAGAATTACAGGCCAATCTCACTCATGAACATCGACGCAAAAATCCTCAACAAAATACTGGCAAACCGAATCCAAGAACACATTAGGAAAATTATCCATTATGATCAAGTAGGCTTCATTCCTGAGATGCAGGGCTGGTTCAACATACGAAAATCTATCAATGTAATCCAGCATATAAATAAACTGAAGGAAAATAACCATATGATCATCTCATTAGATGATGAAAAAGCATTCGACAAAATTCAACATCCATTTATCTTAAAAGTCTTGGAGAGATTAGGGATACAAGGGTCATACCTAAATATAATAAAAGCTATATACAGCAAGCCGACAGCTAACATCAAATTAAACGGAGAGAAACTCAAAGCCATCCCGCTTAACTCAGGAACACGACAAGGATGTCCACTCTCTCCATACCTCTTCAATATAGTACTTGAAGTTCTAGCAATAGCAATAAGACAACATAATGGGATCAAGGGGATTCGAATTGGAAAGGAAGAAGTTAAACTTTCGTTATTCGCAGATGATATGATAGTGTACTTAAGCGACCCCCAAAACTCCACCAAAGAACTTTTACAGCTGATAAACAGCTTTAGTAATGTGGCAGGATACAAGATCAACTCCAAAAAATCAGTCGCCCTCTTATACACAAAGGATAGGGAAGCAGAGAGGGAAATCAGAGAAGCTTCACCATTCACGATAGCCACAAACAGCATTAAATATCTTGGGGTAAATCTAACCAAGGAAGTGAAAGATCTATTTGACAAGAACTTTAAGGCATTGAAGAAAGAAATTGTAGAGGATACCAAAAAATGGATGGATCTACCTTGCTCTTGGATTGGGAGGATCAACATAGTAAAAATGGCAATTCTACCTAAGGCAATTTATAGATTCAATGCAATCCCCATCAAGATCCCATCAAAATTCTTCACAGATCTGGAGAGGACAATAATCAACTTTATATGGAAAAACAAAAAACCCAGGATAGCCAAAACAATCCTATACAATAAAGGATCTTCTGGAGGCATTACCATCCCTGACTTCAAACTCTATTACAGAGCTACAGTAATGAAAACAGTGTGGTACTGGCATAAAAACAGAGAAGTCGAACAATGGAATCGTATAGAAGACCCGGATTTTAACCCACAAACCTATGAACACCTCATTTTTGATAAAGGAGCTAAAAGTATACAATGGAAGAAAGAAAGCATCTTCAACAAATGGTGCTGGCACAACTGGATGTCAACCTGTAGAAGAATGAAAATAGACCCACATCTTTCACCGTGCACAAAACTCAAGTCCAAATGGATTAAAGACCTCAATATCAGCCCGAACACACTGAAAAGGATAGAAGAGAAAGTGGGAAATACCCTACAACAGATGGGCACAGGAGATCGCTTCCTATGTATAACCCCAGAAGCACAGACATTAAGAGCAACATTGAATAAATGGGACCTACTAAAACTGAGAAGCTTCTGCAAAGCAAAGGACACTGTCACTAAGACACAAAGGCAACCTACTGACTGGGAGAAGATCTTCACCAACCCCGCAACAGACAAAGGTCTGATCTCCAAAATATATAGAGAACTCAAGAAACTAGACTTTAAAATGCTAATTAACCCAATTAAAAAATGGGGCACTGATCTGAACAGAGAATTCTCAACAGAAGAAGTTCAAATGGCCAAAAGACACTTAAGGTCATGCTCAACTTCCTTAGCAATCAGGGAAATGCAAATCAAAACAACTTTGAGATATCATCTTACACCTGTCAGAATGGCTAAAGTCAAAAACACCAACGATAACCTTTGCTGGAGAGGTTGTGGAGGAAGGGGTACCCTCATCCATTGCTGGTGGGAATGCAATCTTGTGCAACCACTATGGAAGTCAGTGTTTCGGTTTCTTAGGAAATTCGGGATCAACCTACCCCTGGACCCAGCAATACCACTCTTGGGAATATACCCAAGAAATGCCCTATCATATGACAAAAGCATTTGTTCAACTATGTTCATAGCAGTATTATTTGTAATAGCCAGAACCTGGAAACAACCTAGATGCCCTTCAATGGAAGAATGGATGAAGAAAGTATGGAATATCTACACATTAGAGTACTACGCTGCAGTAAAAAACAATGACTTCTCGAATTTTGCATGCAAATGGATGGAAATAGAAAACACTATCCTGAGTGAGGTATCCCAGACCCAAAAAGATGAACATGGGTTGTACTCACTCATAATTGGTTTCTAGCCATAAATAAGGGTCACGGAGTCTACAATAGGTGAATCTAAAGAAGCTAAGTAAGAAGGGGAACCCAAGGAAAAACATATAGGTATCCTCTTGGCTAAGGGAAGTAGACAAAATTGCCGGGGAGAAAATTGGGATCTTGGGGTGGGGTGGGTTGGGAGTAAGGGGAGATGGGGAGAGAAAAGTTAGAAGGGAAGGAGGTCGGGCCTTGGGAAAGCAGGAGGATTGGGATAAAGGAAGGTTGGACAGGGGAGCACGGAACCACAATTCTTAGTTAAGGGAACCACTTTAGGGTTGGCAAGAGACCTGACCCTAGAGGGGCTCCCAGGTGCCCAAGCTGAGGTCCCCAGTTAATTCCTTGGGCAGTTGAGAATAGGGAACCTGAAATGACCCTATCCTTGAGCAATACTGACGAATATCTTGCATATCATCATAGAACCTTCATCTGGTGATGGATGGAGATAGAGACAGAGACCCACACTGGAGCACTGGACTGAGCTCCCAAAGTCCCAATGAGGAGCAGAAGAAGGGAGAACATGAGCAAAGAAGTCGGGACCACGAGGGATGCACCCACCCACTGAGACAGTGGAGCAGATCTATTGAGAGCTCACCAAGACCAGCTGGACTGTGACTGAAAAAGCATGGGATAAAACTGGACTCTCTGAACATGGCGAACTATGAGGGCTGATGAGACGCAAAGGACAATGGCACGGGGGTTTGATCCTACGTAATGTGATGGCTTTGTGGGAGCCCAGCCAGTTTGGATGTTCACCTTCCTAGATATGGACGGAGGTGGGAGGTCCTAGGTCTTACCACAGGGCAGAAAACCCTGACTGCTCTTTGGACTGGAGAGGGAGGGGGAAAGGAGAGGGCGTAGGGGGGGAGGAGGGGGAGGGAAATGGGAGGCTGGGAGGAGGTGGAAACTTGTTTTTTTTTTTTCTCCTTTTCTCAATAAAAAAAATGTATCACAAATATAAAGATTTTCATTGATACAATCTGGTACGTCATAATTTAGCACATAAAAATCTAATGTGATACAAACTGACAGAAAGCAAAAGAAAAGAATTTGCCTGTGGTTTAAACTAATAAAAACTGTAACGTCTTCATAAAGTATTTATGAAGCGCTTAGGCAGAGATATTTATAGATAATGCAGGCAACAAAACAATCAAATACGAGGTAAATATAGAACTATAATACAATATCATCATATAAAAAAGTGAAGATATCAGTTTTCCACTGAATTGACACTACAGTAAATGTCAAGTATGAAGAAAGTAAAATTTAAAATCTATGTATCCCAAATGAAATTAAGTATCACCTTACCAAAGACATTGCTTCTGAGGAAAATCCTCTTACAGACTTATGAAAACCCTGAAAGCAGAAACCAAAAGGCAAATTTATATTTAGGCTACATCCAACATGATCACAGGCTTCCAGAGAGCATTAACTACACATTTGGCAAAGCTGGAATTCTCTACGGTGTTGCTCAGGATTGCCTGGATGCCAGCTGCAGGGGCTGACACCCCCACCTCCACTTGGACACATACGTATACATAATTTAAAAAGTTCTAAGAGATAGAAAATGGAGTTAATACTCAATATTTCCTCCTGCACAGAACTACACCCAGAGTTTCCCCAAATAGCAATCACTTTAATTACACATTTGATGGCTGTCAAGCTGATTCATTGTTTTGTTATCACAAAAAAAAAAAAAACAAAAAACACCTCAGCCATATAAGACCTTTGGGATACTAAAACCTAGGCTCAACTGTTCCTCATCGAAGTCTTTATCACAGAGGTAGTTTATAACTGTGGTATGGAAGGAAGTGAAAAGGAAGAAAGAAATGATTTATATTCACAAAGAATAAAGTGAGAAAAATCCATTTTCCCTAAAAGAACCAATTGGTTAACTTAAAATAAACTCAAGTTTCTATCAAAAGTACCTGCACACAGAAATCCCTGCAATCAGTGCCGAGATCTGGATGTCTAGTTTTATAAGCCTCATTAATAAGTGTGCCAAAGGGCATGTCAACCTAGGGACTACTTCCAGGATGGTGGTCTCATGGCTGAACACTCAGTTTGTTAAGCACACACTGCAAGGTTCACGTAGAGCCCGAATCGCCCATAACGCATTTCTCTGTCACTGAGAGATAGATACACGATCACACTTTAAAAGAGTCTCATCTCCACATGGAGTCATTCTAAAGGCAGAAACCCAGTTTAATATTTTTAAACATGTTTTTTAAAACAGTTTTTAAAATATTTTATTTATTCATTCATTCATTCATTGATTTATTATGTATACGGTGCTGTATCTGTGTGTAACCCTCCAGCCCAGAAGAGGGCACCAGATTTCATTACAGAATTACAGATGGTTGTGAGCCACCATGTGGTTGCTGGGAATTGAACTCAAGACCTCTGGAAGAGCAGTTAGTGCTCTTAACTGCTGAGCCATCTCTCCAGCTCCCCCAGTTTAATATTTTTTAATTTAAAATGTTCACCTGTTTAAGGACCCAGAAAACGCTGCTCTCACATACTCTGCTGTAGACCTCAAACTGCGAGCATTCAGGGAGCAGCAGAGGACTCTGTCTGAGGTTCCGTCACCTAATTAGAGACCAGAAGGGTCACAGACAGAAACACCCACTTTGCCGGTTATGGGAACTTCATTAGCCAAGCTCAGACACAACAGAGAGGAAGAGACTAACAACACAAGGTCACACTCAAGCACAGAGGAGTTTTGTGTTATCTACTGCTTAGGGAAATTTTTTATTTATATTTATTATTATTATTTTGCTATTTTATTGGGGTAGTAAATGATTCTGAAGGGGAGAAGAGGGTATTCAGGCCTCAATGTGTCATTTTTATGGCTCATGTGCACTGCTAACCTTTTTGTTTCTTCCTAATCCATCTATTATCAGGAATTCTATTTGATAAGAACATTTCAAATTTCACATGTAAATTAAAAACCCAGTTCAACTAAGCAGTTTACCCAGACTTACAGAAACAGTATTCTATCCAATAACTTTGCCCATTAAAATCAAACATGTCAAGAGGGTAAAGGTGTGCACTTACATAAACAGTGAGTAGAAAATCTTCAAATGCTGTCAAAACATTGTCGTCCGTTTGTTTGCTACTGACACAACTCCAAATCCAGACACTGCAGTGGGAAAATTAGAGTTCATCCATCAGTAAACACACATAACGCTGAGCACCACAAGTCTATGTTCACAGCATGTTTGGAGGGCACATCTACAAAGCAGAGTCTGGTTAACCTAAACTTGTTTAATGTTACTGAATATGCGAGTCAGACCACAACCTTCCTTAAGAGCCTCCTTCACTAACAGATACAGGACAGCCACAGATGGCTGTAATGGAAAAAGCGCTAAAAACACTTCTTAGACAGTTGCATTTAGTGAGACTTCCAGAATCACCGCCTCCAATTCTGTAAACGAGCAGTGAGTGAGTCCTGTGATGAGGCAGCAGGTGACACAGCAGGAGGAGGAACCGAACTGAAAGTAAATCTGGAGTAGAGACAGCAGCCGAGACAGGGCTCTCCGCACCCAGCAGCACAGACCTCTGGAGTAGAGACTGCAACCGAGACAGGGCTCTCCGCAACCAGCAGCACAGACCTCTGGAGTAGAGACTGCAACCGAGACAGGGCTCTCCGCAACCAGCAGCACAGACCTCTGGAGTAGAGACAGCAGCCGAGACAGGGCTCTCCGTACCCGGCAGGTCAGACCTCTGGAGTAGAGAGAGCAGCCGAGACAGGGCTCTCCGCACCCAGCAGCACAGACCTCTGGAGTAGAGACTGCAACCGAGACAGGGCTCTCCGCAACCAGCAGCACAGACCTCTGGAGTAGAGACAGCAGCCGAGACAGGGCTCTCCGCACCCGGCAGGTCAGACCTCTGGAGTAGAGAGAGCAGCCGAGACAGGGCTCTCCGTACCCGGCAGGTCAGACCTAAGGATTGATCCAGGACATGGACGGAAGCACTCTGTATTTTTACACCAGTGAAAATTAGGACTCCCCTTTTGTTTTTAGCTATCAGGTCATTATCCTTTAATTTTATTTCATTGTCTTTTAATTCTTGTCTTCCATGAACTAAAATGACCAGGCTTTTATCTGTTGCATTATATTATTAATTTTACTGATCCAATTTTAGCAACAAATTCATAAGATAGCTATAAAATTCCTGGGCTTCCATCTCTCTCCACGTTTACTATGTACCATGTGGAAGTCTTCTGTGCACTGGGCCTGAGGCCCACTTCCAGTGCGCTTTATTCTATTCGCTATGGTGAGCAGTCCCTCAATCCAGAAAGGGCTACCACCTATGTGTGGCTGAGCTGCGCCTGGGAGAGGTGCAATGCTGTGAAACGCAAAGAAAAACAATCTGCAGACTAGAAGAACAGTTATCAGTGGGAGCGAAGGACTAGAAGAACAGTTATCACTGGGAGCACAGGACTAGAAGAGCATCATTATCACTGGGAGCGCAGGACTAGAAGAGCATCATTATCACTGGGAGCACAGGACTAGAAGAACAGTTATCACTGGGAGCGCAGGACTAGAAGAACAGTTATCACTGGGAGCGCAGGACTAGAAGAATAGTTATCACTGGGAGCACAGGACTAGAAGAGCATCGTTATCACTGGGAGCACAGGACTAGAAGAGCATCATTATCACTGGGATCGCAGGACTAGAAGAATAGTTATCACTGGGAGCGCAGGACTAGAAGAACAGTTATCACTGGGAGCACAGGACTAGAAGAACAGTTATCACTGGGAGCGCAGGACTAGAAGAGCATCATTATCACTGGGAGCACAGGACTAGAAGAACAGTTATCACTGGGAGCGCAGGACTAGAAGAACAGTTATCACTGGGAGCACAGGACTAGAAGAACAGTTATCACTGGGAGCACAGGACTAGAAGAGCATCATTATCACTGGGAGCGCAGGACTAGAAGAGCATCATTATCACTGGGAGCACAGGACTAGAAGAACAGTTATCACTGGGAGCACAGGACTAGATGAGCATCATTATCACTGGGAGCGCAGGACTAGAAGAGCATCATTATCACTGGGAGCACAGGACTAGAAGAGCATCGTTATCACTGGGAGCACAGGACTAGAAGAGCATCGTTATCACTGGGAGCACAGGACTAGAAGAGCATCGTTATCACTGGGAGCACAGGACTAGAAGAGCAGTTATCACTGGGAGCACAGGACTAGAAGAGCATCGTTATCACTGGGAGCACAGGACTAGAAGAACAGTTATCACTGGGAGCACAGGGCTAGAAGAACAGTTATCACTGGGAGCGCAGGACTAGAAGAGCATCATTATCACTGGGAGCACAGGACTAGAAGAACAGTTATCACTGGGAGCGCAGGACTAGAAGAACAGTTATCACTGGGAGCACAGGACTAGAAGAACAGTTATCACTGGGAGCACAGGACTAGAAGAGCATCATTATCACTGGGAGCGCAGGACTAGAAGAGCATCATTATCACTGGGAGCACAGGACTAGAAGAACAGTTATCACTGGGAGCACAGGACTAGATGAGCATCATTATCACTGGGAGCACAGGACTAGAAGAGCATCATTATCACTGGGAGCACAGGACTAGAAGAACAGTTATCACTGGGAGCGCAGGACTAGAAGAACAGTTATCACTGGGAGCGCAGGACTAGAAGAACAGTTATCACTGGGAGCACAGGACTAGAAGAACAGTTATCACTGGGAGCGCAGGACTAGAAGAGCATCATTATCATTGGGAGCACAGGACTAGAAGAACAGTTATCACTGGGAGCGCAGGACTAGAAGAACAGTTATCACTGGGAGCACAGGACTAGAAGAACAGTTATCACTGGGAGCACAGGACTAGAAGAGCATCATTATCACTGGGATCGCAGGACTAGAAGAATAGTTATCACTGGGAGCGCAGGACTAGAAGAACAGTTATCACTGGGAGCACAGGACTAGAAGAACAGTTATCACTGGGAGCGCAGGACTAGAAGAGCATCATTATCACTGGGAGCACAGGACTAGAAGAACAGTTATCACTGGGAGCGCAGGACTAGAAGAACAGTTATCACTGGGAGCACAGGACTAGAAGAACAGTTATCACTGGGAGCACAGGACTAGAAGAGCATCATTATCACTGGGAGCGCAGGACTAGAAGAGCATCATTATCACTGGGAGCACAGGACTAGAAGAACAGTTATCACTGGGAGCACAGGACTAGATGAGCATCATTATCACTGGGAGCGCAGGACTAGAAGAGCATCATTATCACTGGGAGCACAGGACTAGAAGAGCATCGTTATCACTGGGAGCACAGGACTAGAAGAGCATCGTTATCACTGGGAGCACAGGACTAGAAGAGCATCGTTATCACTGGGAGCACAGGACTAGAAGAGCAGTTATCACTGGGAGCACAGGACTAGAAGAGCATCGTTATCACTGGGAGCACAGGACTAGAAGAACAGTTATCACTGGGAGCACAGGGCTAGAAGAACAGTTATCACTGGGAGCGCAGGACTAGAAGAGCATCATTATCACTGGGAGCACAGGACTAGAAGAACAGTTATCACTGGGAGCGCAGGACTAGAAGAACAGTTATCACTGGGAGCACAGGACTAGAAGAACAGTTATCACTGGGAGCACAGGACTAGAAGAGCATCATTATCACTGGGAGCGCAGGACTAGAAGAGCATCATTATCACTGGGAGCACAGGACTAGAAGAACAGTTATCACTGGGAGCACAGGACTAGATGAGCATCATTATCACTGGGAGCACAGGACTAGAAGAGCATCATTATCACTGGGAGCACAGGACTAGAAGAACAGTTATCACTGGGAGCGCAGGACTAGAAGAACAGTTATCACTGGGAGCGCAGGACTAGAAGAACAGTTATCACTGGGAGCACAGGACTAGAAGAACAGTTATCACTGGGAGCGCAGGACTAGAAGAGCATCATTATCATTGGGAGCACAGGACTAGAAGAACAGTTATCACTGGGAGCGCAGGACTAGAAGAACAGTTATCACTGGGAGCACAGGACTAGAAGAACAGTTATCACTGGGAGCACAGGACTAGAAGAGCATCATTATCACTGGGAGCGCAGGACTAGAAGAGCATCATTATCACTGGGAGCACAGGACTAGAAGAACAGTTATCACTGGGAGCACAGGACTAGATGAGCATCATTATCACTGGGAGCGCAGGACTAGAAGAGCATCATTATCACTGGGAGCACAGGACTAGAAGAGCATCGTTATCACTGGGAGCACAGGACTAGAAGAGCATCGTTATCACTGGGAGCACAGGACTAGAAGAGCATCGTTATCACTGGGAGCACAGGACTAGAAGAGCAGTTATCACTGGGAGCACAGGACTAGAAGAGCATCGTTATCACTGGGAGCACAGGACTAGAAGAACAGTTATCACTGGGAGCACAGGGCTAGAAGAACAGTTATCACTGGGAGCGCAGGACTAGAAGAGCATCATTATCACTGGGAGCACAGGACTAGAAGAACAGTTATCACTGGGAGCACAGGACTAGAAGAACAGTTATCACTGGGAGCACAGGACTAGAAGAGCATCGTTATCACTGGGAGCGCAGGACTAGAAGAGCATCGTTATCACTGGGAGCACAGGACTAGAAGAGCATCGTTATCACTGGGAGCACAGGACTAGAAGAGCAGTTATCACTGGGAGCACAGGACTAGAAGAGCATCGTTATCACTGGGAGCACAGGACTAGAAGAACAGTTATCACTGGGAGCACAGGACTAGAAGAGCATCATTATCACTGGGAGCACAGGACTAGAAGAGCATCATTATCACTGGGAGCACAGGACTAGAAGAGCAGTTATCAGTGGGAGCGCAGGACTAGAAGAACAGTTATCACTGGGAGCACAGGACTAGAAGAACAGTTATCACTGGGAGCACAGGACTAGAAGAGCATCGTTATCACTGGGAGCGCAGGACTAGAAGAGCATCATTATCATTGGGAGCACAGGACTAGAAGAGCAGTTATCACTGGGAGCACAGGACTAGAAGAACAGTTATCACTGGGAGCACAGGACTAGAAGAACAGTTATCACTGGGAGCGCAGGACTAGAAGAGCATCATTATCACTGGGAGCACAGGACTAGAAG